ATTATCCAAATGCTGCATTACAAAAGCTATTAGCTAATTTGGAGCTTTGTTGGTAGAGTACTTGAATAGTAGTTAATAGGTCTCTTCTTGAAGTCCAGTTCAGTCATAATTAATATTTCTTTATGTTTTAGGTGATGATGCATTTTTGTATTTGAGTGTTCTTTGTTTTGCCCTGGAAAGAAATGGTAGTCCAGAGGTCTGTGGTTCGATTCACTGTTGAGTCATATTTATGTCTTGCTCATGTTGATTGGCCAATTGTAAAGATGTAGCCTGTACAGCTTATAGTGCCCTGGAATGGTTGTACAGATGTCTGTGGCTCGAGTCTCGATCAATCCATATTTTTATTGCTGATGCCATGCTTGCTGTAAGTTGGGAAGCTCAGTAGAGCCCTGGAGTGGTTGTTTAGAGGTCAGTGGTTCAACTCCCAAATGACTCCTTTGTTTCCCCTTTGTTGCTCATGTAGGCACTGGTCCACTATTTAGACCCAGACTCACCTCAGGAAGACTTGATGATACTTGGCCAGGCTGACTACTTCATCGGGACTTGTACCTCTTCATTTACGTCCTTCGTGAAGCGGGAGCGAGATGCCAATGGCAAGCCCTCCATATTCTGGGGACAGGAATATAAAGGCTTTTAAAAGATAATTTGCTACAAATGTTCTGTACATGTATATGTATACAACATGGTTTGACGGGAAGTAGTGCGGAATTACTGGTCTCAAGGCATTGGCTTATTTGACTAAGCGTCCTGCGTGAAGTGGAGGGAGGTACATTGTACTCAATAGCAGCAAATTTCACCAAGTAATTTCACACTTCTTCCTGAAAAGAAACCATGTATTTGTTATATTACACATTGTACGGATTTAGTTTAATAATCATAGGTTGAACAATTCCATGCGAATTGCCTCTCAGTGTATGTGTATAACCGTTTGTCTGTCATGGAAGTGGATCTGCTATTGAGTGCAATGTACATCCCTAAGTATTAAGGTACCTCGTTCACAGTATGAGAAATATACTTTCAAAAAATAAAACAAAATAAAATATACTCGAATATGGGAACAAATATATTACACAATATTGTGCAAATTAGGCACCCTTCGCTCAAGAATTTCAGGTGTCACCCCTTCTAAATATCTTCTCTGGGGCTTGTAGAATCTATTTGCCAAGGTTGGTGCTTTGGACCACTCGGTCACGATCTTGTCAAAAAATTGGGTCTAAGCCATTTGACTAGTTGGGGCCCGTCTCAATTAATATCTGGATAAGTTGCGGACATTTGCAGGATTCTGAATAATTTCCCTGCAATCTTCCCACAATGTAGCTATTGGCATTGGTGAGTCAAGCAGTTGGTAATGTAATTTCCCTAGAACATGTCCGGAACGAATGCAGAGCCACAAATTTAAGTAATGATTCTTGTCCGGAACTAGTCTTGGCCCAAGACGTCAGTGATCAAGAGTGATAGTTCCATTGTTGTGTAGTGCCCTTGCATAATTTTTTTTTTTACCTTCTTTCACTAACGTCTTTGTCATCTCGAAGCAATGGGGGCGGGGCCATTTTATGTAAATAAGACCGTCTGTATAAATTGGAAGAAACACAGTTCCTTTTTATAGCTCCATGCTTGATCATCGCACGTATAGCTCGTATGCTTACAACCGTCGGGTGTCATTGAACCTTTTCTCGATTACTGATTGGTTCCCTAGGAAAGCGACGACGCTTGATCACCGCACGTAGGCCGGGCATATGTTTACAACGGTTGGGCGAGCCATTGAACCTTTTCTCGATCGCTGATTGGTTCCCAAGGAAAGCCTAGGGAGAAAACAGAAAAAGTTAAACCGAAACGAAAAGGCCAAGACGTTAGTGTGAGTAGGCCAACTGGTCTAATTGTTGTGCTATTGGAGGGCGCACTGTGTACCGTCCACTATGTACCTACCGTCCACTATCAATCACTAGCGTCTTGGGTCAAGACTATAAGTCCAAACCTCGTCCCGGTTATGAATTTAGATGGGCCCTTCCTAAATCACATCTGTTGCATGGTTAGCTAAGACAGTGTGCTCATGTAGAATGTACTTCTTCTTTGGTACTACCGACCAGCTGGGCAATAGCATGTGCGGTGCACTTGCAGGAAGCTTGTAACATTGACCAATGAAGAAGCACATATTGTATGAGGTGTAAAAATTAAAGCTGCAGTTTCCCAAGTCCCCAACTCTCCATGTACATGCTGTACACTGAAATAGCTGGTGGTGAAGCTCGAAGTAATCCTGAGCAACAAGGCAGTGTTTTTCCAATCCTTTGAATGAATACGAGAATATTCACAATTATGTAAGAAATGTACAAATATTTACAGAAAAAAAGTTAGATCTTGATTCTGGGAAAAGAACTTGGCAAAAGTGATTACATGTAAATGTCTTGAACCATGGCAATCTCAAACGTGTGTTTCTTTTTGAAACAAGAGTTGTAAAATGGGTGGCTACTGGTGCGTAAATAAGTACTTGCCCGTCACCACTGTAGTCTGGGTTCGATTCCCGGCTCGGACCACATGTCAGTAGAGTTGTTCGTTGATTCTCTCTTATGCCATGAGGGTTTTTTTCTCCGGGTTATCCGCTTTTCCTTCCTGCGCACAAATCAACACTTTCGATCTCTGGCTGTGTTCCGTGATCAGACATGGGTCGTATGGCGGCTATCTCGGGTACCTATAAATATGCCTCAGTCGGCTTGACCACATTGTAGCTGCGTCTTTCACAGTTCAGCTTCCTATAGCTGCAAGCCTGCAAAAGTAGCGGATCTAAAGGGGGGGGGGTATAAGGTATGCAGTTTTGGGTTTGTGTGGCTATGCATTTTATTTTTACAAATTTGACCTTGTGTTCATAATGATATTTGTTTTAATGTGTATTGTGTTCACAGTGGTGCTGCCTTTTATGGCACCTCAGAAAAATGTTAACTTGTTTGTATGATACTGTGGGAATATATTTTTGTAATCTAATATTTAGGTAACAGGGATTACTATAGAAAAGTGGCAATTTTGAAAAACAAAGGGCACTGAGCAGACATTGAGCCCTTTTCATAGTGTTTATGCGTACGCATGTACAAATATATCCATTGGTTTATATTTATATATCTTGGATAGGCCTTTATATTTTTGTAAAATAAAACTATATTTTGTATACAAGCCTCTATAATATATTGAATATTGAGAAACTGTTAAACAATACAAGATGACATGATCGCAACAATGTAGTGTTGTACATTAATATTACACTTCCATTCGAATTGTATTTGTCGCACTTAAAACACTATTGTTATGGTTATAATGGCTTCATTGGTTGATGGTTTCATATTAAAGCCAGAGTCCATCATTTTGCAGCTATCCAAAAAAGGAACTGGCGTAATTATTGTTGAAAAACATACTTTAGTTGAAAGATAGTAAGGGGACTAAAACTCCCTGTGAAATTATTCTTTCTGGCAAGCTCTCATTTTGAAGTAATCAACGAAAGAAGGCCTTTCCAACGGTGCGTCTTAAGAACTTCCGTTGGAAATTTCCGTTAGTATATGTAGTTCGTGTTTTTTTATTCGGCGAAACGCGCGCAAGCGTTGACACGACGCACACGTTGTATAATTCGTCGGATTGGTGCGCGACATCGCGTAGCTGCAATCGGCTCAGTGAGATGTGTCTCGGACGCTTAATTCGTGAGGCCCAATTCAAAACGATTCAGCAACTTTTGATTTGAAATCGAGTTCCTAGAATATGTTGTTTTTCTCGAAATATACAGCTGAAGCTGAGCTGAAACTTCATCACGTTAGTTGTTCAGCAGCCTTCTTTATTTTTGAGAAACTGTGTTGCTTCAAACGAACAAAATGCACAAGTTACAAATGAACTTTAATTTAAACTTGGTGATGGTTCAACCACAGAGCAAGGAATATGGTTCAACATAATGACGGTTTATTTCGATTTTTTTTCTTCAAAAGATGGCTAAACCGACCCGACCCGACCCGACCCGAAAATGTAAATACAAACCGACCCGACCTGAAGTCGGTTCGGGGTCGATCGGGTTTGCACATCATTCTCCACGTCCTGCACCACCAAACTCGTTTTGGGGGGCAACTCAAGAAACACAAGATGTATTACATTAAATTTTCGTCCTGTTATTTATCATTTCGTTTAACAATACGAGATTTAGTTTCATAAGAAACCGTCACGTCACAAAATTAAGCTATTAAGAGTTACCGTAACAATACGTACAGTGCGTGTTTGCGGAACAAACCACTTTGCGTAGCGTAGGACTGTAGGACGTGTAGCGTTCTACAAATGTGTTCATTTTAAATGCGGCCACATCTTGCGCGAGGTTTGTTGCGCCGTCCAAGTCTTGTACCCGCTGTCCTAGACATGCAATTGGAGCGTGAGTGCGCAATGGAAACCATACGGAAGGGGGCGGTCGAGCAAGCGCAAGCATGCATGCAGCGCATTGAACTGTAGAAAGTACACGTCGATTTTAAAGGGAATATACAACATTTGCAAACATCGAAAAATAAAACTACCAAGTTTTTGCGAAATACCTTAATAGGATGTTGGTAAATGACAGTCTAAAGCATCCTGTAAAATTATGGCACCTGGTATACTGTCATTTTCAAGAAAAGTGGTATTTTTGTATCAATTTCCAACGCTGATCGGCCGATCAGCGTTGGAAATAACTGGCTTTTTTTCAAATACTGGCCCCAATTGACCATCGCACTTGTTTGCAATCGATTACAAACCTATGAACGGGTACGAGCCAGCTAGACTGGTTCCCTGACCTTACAATTCCCCAATGTATGTAAACTGCTCTGTTTCTTCTTATATGGAGTCAGGGAACCAGACTACAGGAAAATGATCGTTTTTCTTGGTTTTTATAGCATTTTCGAACCCCAAACCTCCAAAAAGTCAGTGTAACTATATTTGCTTTATATTTCCAACCCCCCAATCCCATCCATTTCTGAAAATTACAGCAAAAGCAAATGATGTATATTCCCTTTAACACGAAGAAATTAATACTTTTTAAATAGTTGCTCTGTATGAAATTGAGTGACATGTCCTTCATAATTTTTGTTACAACGGTATATCATTCAGCTGTGGATTATTTTAACTCAATTTTGTGTTTAAATGTTACATGTTTCTGTGCTGACTTTAGACGTGTTCATTTTTTTTGAGAAGTTGAACGCTCTGCATGCTGACCCCCGGTTCTAGACTAGTGAAATGGCAATACACACACTGGCAATAGCTCTCGTGGTTGTGTTTTGGGTTTGTAGTACATGCTTACATGTTCAAGTCAGCGCTGATACGAAGCACGCCTATCGAGCTGACGCCAACTCTGATGAAGACGGACAAAAAATAACTATAAGGAACGATTGTTCAGACGATCCTGACGGGGAAACCTGCAGTAGAGTCGACCCTGGGAACACAGAAGATCTTCGGCCAAACTTGGAAAACAATGGAAGCCTTTCTGAGACTGAAGACAATGCATTTAACTTTAAATGGGACCCCAAAGGATATGTTTTATTTTGTCCGTGTATGGGTAAGAAAAAGACATTTTGTTCACTTTTTTCTTACGAAGTGAACCAGCATCATATTGTTTCTAAGCTCGCAAGCATCCCGCTCGAGTTCAAACCCGGAAAAAATGTTGCAACCTGACGCCACTTTTTTTCTTCATAGCCTATATCATCTCAATGAAGGTCAGTCATTGCAAAAATAATGATAAGACATGAGTCTGGGACTGCGATACATTTCGAATTTTGTTGGGAAACACTTGCAACATATTTTTCCCAAAACCCATCTACATGTATGCCGTTGTTTTGAAACTATATTATTTGTGTCCAAAAAAGTAAACAACTTGTTTTCGTTTATTGTTTTAAATTGAATCTTACATTTAATTGCAGATTATGTCATTTTCGTTTTCTTATTCATTGCTGTTCACAGTCAAATGTCAACTGTCATTTGTGGAATTCAATTGGTCTAATTGGATTCAAAGAATGACTCAGTTTACTGTTTTTGGCTGTCTCTATACACTCTCTTGTATCTTAAAACCATTCTTATTCACTGTACACTTCATTTCAAAAAGATATCCCTTTTCTTCTTACAGGTCGCTTTGGCAACCAAGGAGAACATTACCTGGGAGCCATGGCATTTGCTAAAGCACTTGATAGGACGTTAGTTCTCCCACCATTCCGAACATTTGTAAGTCCTGACGATCGAGAGTGAAAAAAAAAATCCTGAGATTTCAATTATTGGTTGTATGCAATTGCAATGTTGGAATATCCATTATCTTCCTCTTATATAGTACGTACGTGAACATGCACATGTATGGATGCTACCCTAACCCCAACCCATACACAGTATTGAGAATCCCAATTTTTCGGACTAAACCCCAACCCTGCTAAATGCCACAGAATGCACCAGTAGTAAAAAGTTGTTGCAAGTTGTTGCATTTGTAGCAGTGCCCCGATCTGCATGCATTCCATGCCTGCATTCCGTTGCATTTGGCAGGGTAGGTACTTGCAATTGGTACCAAGGCTGGCCCTGCATTCTGTTGTATTTGGCTGGGTGCCTAGAGAATACCCCGTAGGGGTTAGGGCTAATGTTGCCCTACATGTACAAGATCCTTCAGAAGTCTTAATGGTCCTATGAATATGATCAATGATTTGTACTTCTAGTCCGAAAATTTGGGACTCTCAGTATGTGTATGAAAGTCCAAACCTCACTAATGCCATATTCATATACCATTCATATCCAGAAACATGCGTCCTTTGGAGAGCTCTTTGACCCGGAGCCAATCAGAGAGTTCCATCGCACCATACTCATGGAGGATTTCATGGAGCATCTGGCGCCAACATTTTGGCCGCCTGGCAAACGAATCGGATACTGTCATCTGCCGGAGAAAAGTGAAGTAGCTTGCGATATGAAATATGGTGAGGGACTTTGTAATATTCCTCACAATTCCTCACAAGCATCTGACAAGTCATGTACAGTCATTCAGTCCCAAAGCGGGGGACAAGTGTTGAAATGAATTGCCACATTGTTTCCCCTGTACATATGTATATGTATAGTGGAGTGCTGTGGCCTCGTGGTTAAAGGCACTGATTTGTGGTCTGTGGGTAAAGCTGCAGGTCCTGGGTTCGAGTCCTGGCGGTGTAATGGTGCGTGTGCCCTTGAGCAAGGCACTTTGTCACTCATTGCTTCTCTCCACCCAGGAGTAAATGGGTACCAGTATGAGGGCAGTGATGGTTATTGTGATTGAATAAGCTTCCTTGCGCCTAACAGGCAGCATCGAGCTGTATACTCCCCAGGGAGCTGAGATGGTATATGGAATGTTTAATTGGCCCAATGATTATTAGGGGTAATAATAATGTAAAGCGCTTTGATCTTAGTTAAAAGCGCTATATAAGAACCTGTTATTATTATTATTTTAAATGTACGTGACCTGACTTTCGATTTGACGTGTGACTGGCTGACTTACAACTGGGCAATTCCAAACTAATGGGCCTAGAAGTGTGACATTTCAGAAGACCTTTTGAGTTTTGATAATAAAACTAGGATCTTGGTCTCTCAATTTTTGCTGTAAACATTGCAAGCTTTGAACAAATATCCTCACCTGCAAATGATATCCATGTAGGGCCTAATTGGTTTTGTATTTTAGAAAATATGGTGGATATTGTTTTTAAAACTGTGTTACAGACCGACATTTTAGATAAAGTCACAAAGTAAGCATAACATTTAATGATCCCCTAAATGATGACTGATTTAAGAAGATGTATCCTGGAGGAATGCCATCGGTTAAAACCTAGAAAACTCGGGGTCAATGTGAAGAAATATTTGATATTTTATAATCAGGATTTATACGTACGAACAGACTGGATATTTGTCACAAAATGTCTGTCCCTGTTTGTACATAACCCTAATCACATCATAACTTTGTAGCCACTGCAAAAACTGTTAAATTTTGCTGGATAGCAATGTAAAATGGGTCGATATTGTCAAATGAAAGTGCCTATTAGAAAGTGAATTTGTCCTTGGCACCCTTTTCCTCGCATTGTGTCTGTCCATGTTATGTACTTAAAACACAGAAAAAAGACCTGTCATTTTCTCAAATACAATTAGGGCCTATCATTTCTTGTATTTTCTTGTTCTAGTCACTTTCAACTTTGCAAGGTATAGGGAAAACACAAAGAAAACACTAGCTCATCTTTTACCCTTTACATGTACTTGCAACATTCATAAACTTACCTAATTGGCCCATTAATGTGGAATTGCCCAACTCCGTGTCAACATTTGTATAGTACAGCAATGAACATTATCGGAATTGTCATCATGATATTAATCATCAATGGCAGTGATGATTGCCATTGTCATTTTCAGTTTGCTGCTTGGCAGTTTGAACATACATTCATCAGTACCGTTACATTTATCACCATTGTCTTTCAAGATCTTGTGCGTGGTTGGATCTGCAGATTGTGAGTTCAAGTCTAGCTAGTGGTGTTCTAGTCTGGTGCATCGTTTTCCTAGAACAAATTGTTGTGTAAAATACTTCACTCTAGTAAAAATAAATTCCGTCACAAGCCAATATAGCTCATCAGGCCGACATTTATCTCCATTTTCATAGATGAAATGACTGAGAATATTTGTGTTTCCCCTGGATGGGATGCCAGTCCATCGCAGGTTACTCCCCAGCACAAATGCCATTACTCATTTATACTCCTGGGTGGAGAGAGGCAATTGGGTTGAAATGGCTTTCTCAAGGAAACAACATTGTGGCCAGCAGCTGGATTCGAACCCCTGACCCTCTGAACATGAGTAATGAAGCCTTGCCACCTAGCCCGACTCTACCCAGATATAAACAAGAATCTTTGATTGAATTAACCAGTTCGTGTCGGAGGACGTGACAACACGCACTGGCTGTTTTTATACACAAGCACTGCTGACGGGTTAAAACGTCAAGATTGCCTTGCCTCGCCTCCAAGTGACGTCGAAGCATGCTAATCCCTCGTGTCTTTTGTACACACACGCACAAAAGTCTGTGAAATGTGTGGGGGCGGACCATGTGTTGATCTTGAATTGGTCATTGTGCACAGCCTATATATTGTTCGCAGATTTATGCTCCAGTGCACCCCAGAGTATTGAAACATATGAGGTTTCGGCAAGAAATATCGTTCAAATGCTGTTGAATGACTCTTGCAAATCAGTATTGTGGCGTTCCGCTGTATATCAGAAGTTGGCTGGGAAATTTTGCCTTTTGCAAAAATCGAAATTTTCGGCAAAAATAAACCTGGTGCGAAGTGGTTATAACCATTTGCTATATATGTTGACATTGTTAAAGCTGTATACTCCAAAGGGAGATGGGAAAATCCGATAAATACTTTATTGGTCAGATGAGCTGGGTGGTAACAAGTTGCACAATTGACTATAATATTCACATTTTGCTTCATCATGTTCTTACAGGAAACCCCTTTGGACCTTTCTGGAGTTATTCCAACATCGAATTTGATGACTGCATCAAATACCAAATACACAACTTTGCTGATGTATCCAATGAGGATTCCATGAAGAAGACTAAACAACAATGGCATGCCAGGTAATTAAACAAGGCATTCTAGCTAGTTTGTTTTGTTTAGCAGTGATTATTATGCATGACAGGTCCCTGAAACTCCCCTTTTCACAAATTTTAACCTTCCTCAATCCTCCAAAATCCTCAAAGCAGTTTTGGAGGATTTTGGAGGAATTAAGATAAATGGTGTTTGAGAAACATGAGGATTTTGGAGGATTGAGGATGAATGGTGTTTGAAGAAGAGAAGGATTTTGGAGGATTGAGTATGAATACATTTTGAGAGGCAGGACTGTCTGACGATTTTGAAGGATTGAGGCGCTGGGTATCCTTCATTTGAAAATATGTGCAAAATTTTGGAGGATTGTGGAGGATTGAGGATTGTTCCTAGCAAAAAGGGCCTACGGGCTAACCCTCACCAACCCTGCCAGACGCAACACGTGGAAAAGAACTGGTGCACTTTGATGCATTCAGCTACCAACACAAGTGCATGAAGGGCCAGCTCTGAAACAATGAGAGCTACATGTAAGTCCCATTGTACAGTTGTATCCTGCTGTGTGCGGTGACCACAGACTCTGAGGCAGTGTGGCCTTGAGACTTTTCCCCTGATGGATGTTGCTACATTTGGCAGGCTTTTCACCAAGTCAAGTGTTGCATGTATAGATCTACGTTTGGCAGGGTTCTAGCAAACATACCCTGGAGGGTTAGGCTTAATGTTTAATGGAGCTCATTGTCAATTTGGGACAGGCACATACCAATCCAAATCAGCAGCAAATTTACAATGTACATACATGCAATTCCCAACGAATGCAACCAATTTGGTAGTCTATGGAATAGCTGCTTGCAGACAAGCATCTACGATGTTCACGCAGATTCGGCAATTAATTTCGCAAAACAAGACTGCGTTTTGACCTCGAGATTCTGACCATTCAGCGGGCACCTTCTATTGTTGTTTTACAGCCGAATTGACCAATCAACAGCTTAGTCCACATTTCTGATCTAAATGACGTCACAGTTCTAAGTCGGCCCCGATGGCTGGCACATGGGGTCGCATAAAAACTCACACTCTTGGATATATCAGATGCTCATTTGTGTGGCTCTGCACACATGAATGTCTGATACTTAGACTACCAATTTGGGTTGGTGCGTGTAAAATTTGCCTGATTGCGGATATCTAAATAGCCGACCGAATACAAGTTTGAATATTGTACATGTAAATTGTTCCAAAATACGCATTGATAGACACTGCTTGTGATGTTACTGCAGCAAAGCCATAACTTCTCCTTTTTTTTCAGATTCCCTCCAGAGGACCACCCAGTCCTAGCACTGCGTGGCTCCCCAGGCAGCTACCCTATGCTTGCTGGCAACCGGGACCTCCAAAAATACCTCCGATGGACACCGGCCTTTTTTGCCGATGCAGGGAAATACATCAAGGACACATTTAAAGGGGAGGCTTTTGTGGGCATTCATCTGAGGAATGGCAAAGACTGGGTAGGTTCTAAGTTTGCCCTTCCAAACTCCGTTTGTTGCAACATGATTGGTCCAGCAATTGAAGAGCTAGGTTGCTGCGCTGAAGATATTTGCTGTAAAGTCGTTGCACAATTCTTCATTAAGTTGTTGTCATTCCAGTTGTTGCAAAATGCATCCCAGTTCCTGTTTCAGTGATAGAAACCATTACAGGAAAGCACTCTCCCAGAGAATCAGTGTCATTTTTAAGTTTTACGCATGCAGTTTTCTTTACTTGTATAAAATTATATATTGTCTTACATTGTTAGCAATTAGTTGACCTGTTGTCCCAGAGAGCCAGCCTATTGTCCTCTTTGTACGGTACCTATCTCGCTATTTGACTGACTGCTGACTGGCTGACTGACTCCCCCCCCCCCCCCCCCCTCGAATCCCTAACTCCCCGACTGACTGACTGAGGGACTGATTGTCACCGGTGACTTAAATTTGTCTGGGACTACAGTAGCTTTACCATGTTTACTACATGTAGGCCTGCTGTTGCAAAGACTCAAGCCAATTCATTATGTTTCTGACAAGTGTCATTTTTCCTGCTTTTTTGAACAGAAGAATGCTTGTGACCATGCTGACGGCCAACGGAGATTCATGGCATCCCCCCAGTGTTTGGAAAGCACTCCCAATCTCATGGTAACAAAGGTGAGGATTTCCATAGGTTTGCATTTGTCATTGTAGATAACTGGTTATACTTTGAAAGAATAAGATGTACCCAAGCCCGCGGGAACGGGGGGTGCTGTGGGTGCTGGAATGTGCTTCAGCACCCCCTACTCCCGGGCAAAAATGTGTTCCAGCCAGCAGTGTTCTACGACGATGAAATTGCGCCGCTACGCTATACACTATGCTTGCTCTACAAATATCTCCTTCGTTTTGTTCGTTTCTAGTTTTGCTGCGGCTCAGCGCGGCGCTTCGAACGTCTAGCACAAACACTGTAAAATATCAAGAGGAGGTATTTTATAAATCTTCAGGCAGTGCAGAATCGATATTTCTCTCAAGGTATCTAAAATCATGACATGTCTATGATATTTCCACCATGATGGAAGCTTTGACCCGAAAGCAATAACCTCGGCCATGACAATGGTGCCAAAGTTGATTATTCTTGCCAGGATTTTTTTTCATTTGATCTTTCAATAGTGGCAAATGTTCATACCTTTCCCCTGAAGGTTTTTCTTTTCATTTTAAAGTTTCATTGGCGTTACTAGCATTCTGTATGTACTCAACATTAACAAATAATAATAATAATTAATAATTATTGCATTTTTATTGCGCTCTCTCCAGGACCAGCCTGTTCGAGAGCGCATTACATATTTAACCCTAACCGCCCTGAATCCTCCAAAATCCTTTTTGCAAATCGGAGGATTTTGCAGGATTGAGGTTACATGGCAAAAGTGCGTTGCGGATTTCGGAGTACGCACTGTGTCAAGGTCTTGGGCCGGACCTTGTGTTGTTTATGCTCAGCCATGCATAAATTTAGTCCTTGATTATACTTGAAATCCTCCGCACTGCTCTAGGATGTCACTGCCTCTGCCTCAGCCTATTGACAGTCATAGCCGGAAGATTTTGCAGGATTCAGGCAGCGGTCACCCCTCCATGGACCATATTCAAGAAATAATGGAGGAATTTGCAGGATTGAGGCTATACAGGTGTATGCTATTTTTCCATGAGGCCAATTGGAGGATTTTGCAGGATTGAGGCTACATCCTAGCAAAAAGGCCTAGGGAGTTAGGGTTAAGAATAAAGTAAAAAGTAAACAGATAATTAAATCAATTGCAAAAATTAGCAAAATACACACAGATAAATATCAAAACTCACAGGCAAAAATACACAAATAGCAAGGTTCACACACACACACACTCACCCATCCCCAACCTATAGGAGTGGGACGGTCTTTCATAGAAACTAGTGATGCTTTACGCCAATTCTAGTGTAGTTTCGTTTTAATAAAAAAGCTACTCATGTTTTACCCTCTGCAAGTTTTTTTTCATAAAAACTCAGTAGACCGATAAATCCTTGCCTAGCCACAAACTTGCCATCTACCGATCATAAACATAAAGATGCATTTGGTCTTACATGTATAGTCTTTTATATATATTTGCCATTCCCTGTAACAAACAAATAACACTGCAAATATCGAGAGATACATCGTTTCGTGAGTTAGAACTATGTGAATATTTTTATGAACAGAAATTCATCCGCTTCCAGTGGAACCATTTGTTTTAACTTGAACCAAAAAACATCCTTTCGGGTTTTATAAGTTTCAGTATACTTCAGTATATTTCATCACAGTGCATCCAGAATCCAACATTTTCCGGGGCCTTAAAGCGGGCCCCTTGCCCTGTGGCTCAGAAAATAAAACAAAACAGGCACGAAGGTATTTACTAAAATAATGCAAGAAAGCAGCCTTGCAACAATAATATTTACTTGCAATGTCATGCATAATGATACAATTCTTTTTCCAGAATTAAATGGAACCAAATATGGAGATAAAAATACAGGGTTCTCCACTTTTCAGTACAGTTAGGCCTAAACGTTTTAAGAACAACAGTATATTCTAAACAAAATAATGAAATAAATTGTCATTATAATCTCAAAAAACTTTTGCTAAAAAAGTCATATGAAAGTGGTCAAGAAGCGCCTCAGATTGCACCACATACAGAGCATCCATATTCCAAATTAAGCCACGACGTAAGGGCTTTGCGCTGCGCTTTCGCATTAATTTTGTCCATCCTTTGGAATCCAGCACCCCCGGCAAAAGTTGGTTCCAGCAGCAGTGGATGTACCTCGGAGAAGTCCAACACGGCAATCATATCAACATGTGTCTTGTTGGCCTGCTGATGAGCAGTCGTCTTATTAAATATCCAGTTAATTAAAGTTGTGTAAACAAAATAGCCCCAATAGACCCATTGTGTGGTTTTGCAGGAATCTAAACAACTTCTCTTGAATCTTCTGCCCCGATGAAGTTTTCAGCATTGATTAGACACTGATACTAGTCTTGTGCATCAAAACGCGGATTTGGCTCCCTGAAGGTTCAGTCCTAGCCCCAATTATTTTTAACATTTACATCACTGACATGCCACCAACCTCATCTGGCAAGTTCCTTTATGCCAACAACTCAACCCTGGGATTTGCTCACAAGCAGAAAGAAGCCTTTGAAAGTGCCCTCGAAGCCGACCTCACCACCCTCTGAATTCATTGTTTCATGGCACCTCAAGCTGAGCATCAAGAAGACCATACATGTACATGTACGCTTACTTCCACCTGGTGAACAGACTGGCGAACGACACACCATCCTTCTCAACGGCAAACCCCTGAAGTTTGAGAAGGAGCCCGGATACTTGCAACCACAGCTTCATCTTTTTGGCACCCCTCAAGAAACTGGCAAAGAAAACCCAATCCCGTGTCAATCTCCTGAAGAAATTGGTCAGCACTCACTGGGGTACGAGTGTCCCTACCATGCGCACATCCAGACTGGCTCTCATCCCTGGACGTACTCTTTAATAAGGTCCTCTGTCTGATTTCTGCCACACTGGAACCCACCCCCACAAGCAGACAAGCATGCTTCCTGTGATTGCTGGCATTGTCCCCTCATCTATTCACCGACTCATGCAATAAGTAGATGAACACGGCAGCCTCAGGTTCCCTCTGCAGAACCAAATGCTGCCCACGCCCCTTTGGCTGAACTGTCCCCCCACTTGGCAGTCCGTGCCGAGAAGCTCAGGAATGAGAACCCCGTCTCTCAGAACTGGCTGATGGAAAGATGGAGGGAGGATTACACCAAGCTTGACATCATGCTCCACCGCTTCATTGCTGGGCCCTGTACAAAGCCTCCTGGCCACCATCTCGACCACAAGTCGGTTGTCTCCCTCAAACTGACTACACATTGGCTGGGCGAATACTGCAGCATTCCTAGACAAGGGCGGTGCTAGGACATCAACCACATCCTGTCTAAATGCCCCATTCTGAAACCACCTAAAGGTGCCAACGGCCTGCTCGAGCTCAACGACGAAACCATCAAATGGTCGGCAGGGATCGATACACGCTGGTGACCACAGTGTCATACAGCAAACGAACAAACTGATAACTTTAATCGCTAGAAGATTCCGAGACAATTATTAAGAATCCTACAATTAACTAATGCCAGATACAATAAGACTTTTGTAGGAAAACTTTTCCATAACTTATCCTGGAGTTCACTCCTGAGTGTTGATCCATAAACCTATGTTTCTACCAATAACATTTTTGTTTCACTTGTTTTCACTTGATTTTCTTCACTTGATCTTTAGCATGCCACGGTCCAATGGTTATGGTAATTGACTTGTGTAGTACATGTATGATTGTGCATGGGATCAAACCCTGCCAGGAACATGGTGTTTGCGCCCTTGGGCAGGACACGTTACTACAATTGTCTCTCTCCACCCAGGAGTTTATATGAGTACCTGTGAGGGTAGAGACCAAATGTGCGCTGATACACGGCTGCCGCGTGGTCTTGTGGCCTGATGAACTGGTAACAATTGTAAAGTGCTTTGAGACTGTTGTTACGATGTAATTAAGCGATAAACATGTACAAGTATTAGCATCAAAAGTATTTTTTATGTATTTTTATTCATAGGATATCTGTCTACCAAAGGTGTCAAAGATTTTAAAGTTGACCTCGCAGGTATTTGAAAAAGTCCATGCCAAGCATCTCTTTATTGCAACAGACAACGAACCTCACACTGAGGACTTCGAGGAACTTTTAAATCCAATTGGGGTAAGTATGCTCAAGGGGTGACTTTAGGTTTCAGTTTTACTTTTTATAAAATGGAATTGTGCATAGGAGTGTAAGTCAATATTAGGTTTTGCCCTTCACCGATGTGTAAACACTGTATACTCATTGTGTTACCTCCCCTTCAGTCACTTTTAGTTTGTTTATCATTTTCGATAAGTTTATGAAATTCACATTTCATTTCATTGATCGATGTTGGGATCATTTTCAAACTCATTATGGGTTATCAACTCGATTTCTATGTTATAAAAGAAAATTGCCTTGCAGACAGCTAATTATTATTACTTAAAAAAAAAGAATAACAATAATAAAAATGAATCTTGGAAACAATTGCTTTAAGTAGTTATGCCACTGCCCGATGCTTACATGTAATTGTCTGATTGAACAATAAGCCATTTGCGAGTAACCTATACCCTTTGGGATTTAAATTTGAAAAACATCTGGTACACTGACTTGCTCAGAATGCTTGGCACATTTTTACTTTGAATTCTCCAGACTAAAGACACTGTTGCTAATCACATGATTCGGGGCAAGCTCTTGCATAGTTACGTAAGAGACGCTCAGCACCAATACATTGTTCACAATGGGTGAGAATGGCACAAAGACACCAGACCATGCCGGAGCTGGGGGTTGCTAGCATAAGGCTTGCCCCGAATCACGTGATATAGTAACAGTCTCTTTGGTCGGGAGAATGCAAAGTTAAAACGTGCAAAGCATTGGATTAAGTCAGCATTCCAGATTTTATTCAAATTTAACTCGCAAATGGCTTATTGTATGGATTTGAACCGGGGCCACTAGGGTTGATGGCAGGGTGTATAATGTCAAGAGCATGAGACATAAATGAGACTGAAAGGTTTGCATGGTGAACATGAACAAAAAATGGAACGGGCTTGCAGCAACACTATGTGAATACAGTCGATCTCGTAGTACAAACTCTGTTAATACAAATTTTGGTTATAACCAACATAAAACCTTGGTCCCGACTGTGGATTTATGTACACAATGAATGGGACTGATGTTCCTCTTATAATACAGAATTCTGATATACATGTAACAAACAATTTGGCTTGGTCTGAACGAGTTTGTAATAACGAGACTCGACTACATGTAATATCTCTTTTGAGTCGTCTGGTTGTAAGAAGAACAAGTTGTATTAAATCGATGTTGCGAACAGTGTGCTGCTCTGTTCGTCATCGGGAGCATTGGCCTTGACGACTAACGGAGCATAATGTCCGAAACGTTGAGTTAATAAAACTGTTTTTTTTCTCAGAACCACACAATTCAAAAAAGGTATTTTTCACATGGTGTTACCTCAAACCTTCTATTCTCTATCAGCAATATTACTTTCCTTCACAAAACTGTGCTTGTTCCTCATCAGGTCTCTGTCCATTACCTCAATCCCAAACTGGCCGAGACAGACCTGATGATCCTGGGCCAGGCAGACTTCTTCATTGGTAACTGTATCTCTTCTTTCACCTCATTTGTTAAACGGGAGAGGGACGTAAACGGCAGGCCGTCCACATTTTGGGGCAAACCTTTAGAGTTGTGACTGTAAAATTAGAAAGTTACTTTTCTATTTTTGTTCTGTTTGATCTTTGAAGTTGTTCCATTTTGGGTTATTTTTCTTGATGGAACTTGTGTTATTTTCCATAATTTTGGTTTCTTTTTTTTGGGGGGGGGGGGGGTTCATCTTGTTAATATATTAATTAAGAGGAACTGATGGGGGCATTCGTTCTGCGGTGTGAGGGGTGAAATTCTTGGATTGCCGCAAGACGATCGACTGCGAAAGCATTTGCCAAGAATATTTTCATTAATGTTGTATTCCAGTTTATTTGGTTTTGTTTTATTTGATTGATTTCGAATGTTATACATTTTTTGGATGGTAAAACGTTACCTTAATGTAAACTTACAATTAACTGTGTGTGTTTTTAACAAATGCATGTTGCCATCGTCTTTCTTCTCCTCTCGGAGCCACAATGTTTACAAATTAAGAATTACTAAATAATGTAAATGTGATTGTATTCTGTTCTCTGATTTCTTCCACACAATTGCTAAAAAAGCGTTCTGCTCTGCACCTCTGCCATTTTAGCATACCTAGTTAAGTTTTTAATTGTTCATTTCAATTATTTTCTTTTCAAAAAGCATGTTACCCTTTTTCATAAAGAAAACCAAAGAGCTGACGATATCTAGGTCATTCTATGAATAAATGTACATGTTTAGGGTTCAAAGTGTGACTTTTGACCCTGTCCCTGGTACATCTGAACTTTGTAGCTTGCTATTCATAATCAATCTTATAGAGGATTACTGCATTAAGGAGTGCATCAGAATTATAAAATCATGGATGTCAGAAACAAGGACAGGGAAAAAGTAGACTCCAAATTTATAGAATCACAAATCTGTCACTTCTCAGGCAGGAGAAAGAAAAGTAAAAAATGTAGGTGAATAAAGTTATTTTCCATGAACAGTCTTTGAAAGCAAAATGTTTGTACTTGTAGCTACGGCTCTATTTAACTTCAGCGACCCTCCGCTACTACAACAATATACGTGCACATTTCTGATGCACGCCGCCTTTTTTATATATCTATGCAGGACCGTACAATTCATAATTAACATTAATCTTGATTTCTTGGCCCGATACTCCTTAACTTCATTTTGCAATTAATTGTGTTTTATGCATCTTAATCAGTTTCAGAGGAACTGGTACATTTTTCTACATATATTTTTGATAATAAAATAATTTTCTATGTCCTGACAATTGGCTTCCGAAAAGGGTCTTTGTTGACGAGATTTGAGCTCGGGTTTGGTTTCATTGTCTTCCTGTTTTTGTTTTGTTTTTGCTTTGTTTTGTTTGTTTTTTGTTTAGATACTCTCCTACTGTATTTTGCCACGTTGGAATTGACAGATCAATGCGTTGTTGATGTACTTCAGAAATAAAATTAAATCCCTGAATAAATCACAGTCTCATCGACTGCATCTGACCAACACAAGAAAATCCGCTAATATACGCCACCAAGATAAAAAAAAAATGAAATAAAGAAAACAGTTCTTCAATCAATTAGATATTTTGTTAGCCACGGTCAATGCAACCATCACTTCACACTGCTGTAGGCCTATCGGGATCGTGTGGATACGAAGTACACCAAACCCATCCTAAAACCATAGAGTTACAATCCAGCGTATCTATTCTCCATCTCCGCTAGCGCGTGCCGTACATGCGGTGAGACCAGGCGCACTATCCCAAAACATTGCCCAAAAATGGCAGGCATCCAGTCAACACGACACACGACGCCAAGGATACTCCATGCCCCGCGGTCGAGTCTATAGTGCCGTGTGCAAAGCTTTCAAGATTCGCCAAGAATTCTTGAGAGCTTTTTTTTCTCTCTGTCTGTTTTCTTTCGTACGCGCGCTGCCTGGACGGGATCAAGTTCACCACAACAAGGACGTATATCTCACGGGAAAGAGATTTATTCAACTGAACGGCGATCTCTATTTGGGACGTGGATCATCAATAACAAAGGTGGGTTGCTCTATAAATTTCTGTGCTAAATTCTGGCCTTATTGGTCAAAATTCAGTCGGTAAATAGTATTTATATCTTGCATTTAGGATTTACTTGTATGTTGTAATAATGTTTAGCATTCATTTGAAGCTTTGGGCGTGAACGATATTTGGTAACGGACGTAGCATTGCGATGCAATAGCACTATTGATAAATTATATATGTAGCCCGCCATTGTGATTTTTATGTCGAGTTTCAAAGTTTCTACCGGTTTCCAATGTGACAACTCGGAATTTCTATAAGTAAAAAACAATAGCTTTTTAGAAAATAAGACTCAATGTGACGGTATTAATATTTCGTCAAGGGCAAGGTTGCACTTTCCGGGGATTGATATTTTTCAAAAATTATTCTTTGTGTTGTACTTTTACATCTCATTTTATCCAAAAGGCCTACTATCCTTTTGATGATTCCTTTTTTATTGAATGGTGTAGTGAAATAGAAAAGATGTCAATTTGAAATTTAGGGAACATTAAATAAAGGAAGTAGTTAGTTGTCCTACCTCTCTTTTCAGTTGAATGTAAAATAAATAAGGGGCTTGGCAAAATAACCAAAACAATGAGTCTAGAAACTGATAAGCCTACTGGTACATGGTGTAAAGCAGATATCGTCTATTGTTGTTTTAATAAATCTCAAATTTACGTCATTCGCCAATTATCGTTCTTGAATTAGTTTTAGATATAAATCTTCAGTATTTTTGTAAACTGTCAATTTGGGATTGTGACTATATCATTCGTAGATTTTATTAGGATTAGGATTTGCTGTGATGTAGAACAACAAATGAGATGAAGTCTTGCTCGACGTACAGTTCAATATGTACTACCATTGTTGCCTACATTTTTACATATACATGTATAGGCCTATAATTAAGAATCCTGAACATAAGGTTTATGCATGTACATGCATCGGGAAATGCATGGCGCCCATGATTCATTATTTGAAGTTCGGCACGGGAGGATGCCATTACATTGCAAAACAAAAATAATAATAATAATAATAAAAATTAAAAAGATACTTTTTCACGTTTGAATCTATGTAATAGGTTTATGAATGTATGTGACATAGGCATCGTACAAAAGCCTATTCTACCTTCAAGTATATTGGCTTAACTGCCATGTAAATGTAAATAAAACTTACCCATCAGTTTGCAGTCAGTAAATGACAAGCTATAAGTTCGTACCCACCGTCACTCGTTGTTTCAACTGTCTCAGTGAAACGAACTTTAAAAATATAGATATGACTGTTTTTATAAGCCTTTATCAGGCTTCCATACTGTGCAAACATTATAAACATGTCTCAGACAAAGAAAGAGGGTACACAAAAAGAAAAGAAAAACAACAACAAAAACGTTAATTCAAACTTAAATAGCACCACCATTTACAGTGAATAAGATACTACCACTCCATCTCCATTATATACGTCGGTCTTCCCTTCCCAGAAATATGTACCTATTTAATTTACCGAATATTTCTGGACGTCATCGATTGGAACTACATTTTTCAGGGTGGTGCAAAAAGAAGGAAACCCACTTTTTACAGGACTTTTAATCTATACTGTACTCACTTAACTTTTGAACTTTTTTTTTTCTATAATGTAGTGAAGTATATCTTCAATCATACATGGTTTAAAAAATGTTTAAAAATCGCACGAATAATGTTATTATGTTAATTTGAATACAAGTCGCCAAAATCACTGTTCTCCACGTGTAAGTCTAGTGTAGGTTTTTGTTTCTTCTTCAAATCAAGCTCCGGCGCTCAGTCAAGCGGATGGAATAAAGCCGTCCGTGGACAAACAGGTTTGGCACATGACTTTTTTTAAACTACCATGTATCAGAGACAAAATATACATCAATAATTTTTTCGTCAGTTTTGTTCAAAGATCAATATTGTAATATTACACTGAATTTTTGAAATATGTTCAAGTGAAAATTGCTTTCAAAAGTGGGTTTCCTTTTTACACCACCCTATGTTGGTTATATACTTTTATTTTTTGATAGCAAGTTACATGCTAAAAGCTGTTCTACTACCGCATCTATATCTGGGTGAATTAGATAAACTGCAAACTTGTAAAACATCTGTTTTCTCAGTTGTAACCTGTTATGTACTAGTCAGTAGTAGGCCTACAACGCGATATAATCATTTTGTTTTGACCAGACATGATCTAAGTTATATGTTTATGTGTTCCCGCAAACTTGATCGAGTCCCGACTCCTTTTGGCGCTTTCCACTCTACCATATTTGGATGATGGGGTCGCCTGGGTATTGACCTCAGATCACATTCGATATAAGTACTTCGGTCTAGTTCCCATTTCGACAATACTGCGATATGTGTACACAAGGAAATGGGTTCCCACTCCCCGCGGAGTCTGTCGCCTTGACACATTCACCGGACAAGAATGCCCGGTATGCACATTGGCTACAGGGAGATGCAAGCAGAATCGCCCGCTGTGATTATTATAATCTTGAAGAGTTAAAACAGGAAGGATCATTAAAGTATAGTTAGTTAAATGATGAGCTATGCAACGGCTATTTTACGAACTTAAGCGCACGTGATGTGTCCAACGGCTGTTTCTTGTGCACGGAAGTCCCCCACAATGATCACAATCTTGAAAGGGACGATATCCCTTTTATTTTCTGTTCCTTTTTCATAGCATTACAATATTTATTGGCCTTTTTTTTTTTTTGGCTCGCCAAAAACCAGTTTACCGATTGCACGGTCATGTCAATTCGGAAGAAAACTCGTTCCAAGATAATTAAAGGCCAGAAAAAAGTCTGGTTACTGGTATGGAGCTTGCCCCAAAAGTGTTGAGGCGACGCCGGGGTTTTTTTCCCTACTTTTTTTTTCAGTCTTTAAATATCGGGTGATACTGCAGATGACGCTTCGATCCCCTTTAAACTCTCAAAAATATCCTTCAGGGTGGAGCTTGAGGTGACCTCATCAGTGAGCCTCGGGCCATAATAGGCTTTAGAATTGTGCACTCTATTAAAATTACGATCTCGACCGATACGAACGTTCTTCGGGAAACTTTCGATAGGCAAGAGAACGTCAGACCATGCAGCGCGACATCAGCATCGTGCACGTGCTGCTAGGCTGTCAGTCTGTTCCCTTATATATTGCGCTAATTAAAAAGCGTTTACAGGTTCCAGATACACGACCATCGCACCCTCAGTCTGGCTTCCAGACGCACAATTACAAAATTACAACATCGTCAGCAAATGGTGCCCGACTAAATTTAGTGCAAAATATATGGGAGTCAAGAGAGGCCACACAAAAGCTTATACTCGATTGAACGTTACCCCATCTAAAAACACGTTAAAATAATGTGCAGCAGCAGGATTCCAGTCAAACAAGTGGGCTTGGCGGTTTTGAGACATCATCTTACAATGAAACAAAAACTTCTCTTTTTGGGGGCCTAATCGCAAGAGAAGTTAATTTCTTATTTTAAAATACGCCCACACGATTTATATTTTAACTCTGGATTGCATGATAGGGCGACACTTCCATAGAAACCTGCACAATTTTTTTTTCAAACTGATGTGACCTAACCCAACTTTTACCTTATCCGATCCCAACCAAGTTTGGTATGTGTATACGTTTTGGACGACGAACAATCGATCTAGCTCATTTGCGACGGTAAATTTCCTTCGCTAGGGCGACACCAAAATTGTCGCCCTATTGTGGTGTGTCGCCCTAATGTAGGGGAAGTCCCGCATAACTTGTCGCCCTATATTGCGGGATTCATGCTAATTAAAGAAATTACAACACCCATTGATATTACAACACCCATTGATAATCATTGAAATGTATTAGCACAAATCGCGAGGAAAGATGCCTGCCCAACTCCTCAATTACGTTCAGCCTCGACTCCATGGGCGCGTTGGCATGATGGGAAACAACATGGCGCTATTGGCGCAGCAAGATCGTACCCATGGGGAACGAGGTTGCGTTCTTCTGTGTTGTGTGTAATAAATAAGAGGGCGCGCATGTTAACGCGCGTCTATGCCCGTCCCTTATCCCTAACAGTCCTGAATCCTCCAATTTTAATATGATTTGTAAACCCCCTAGGGAGTTGTGTGCCCGGCAGAAGGGCATATATGCATATGCCCTTATGCAATAGCGCGTAATGACCAAAATGTTCCCAGCAAAAGGGCATATGCAGAAAACTGCCTCCATTTTAATGAGATTTAAACATTTTCGTCAGAAATTTACGTGTATAGTTGATCCAAAACTTATGATTCATACGTGTGACAAATTTCAAATTCGTACGATTTATATTACGTGTGGGAGTACATTGGATACATAATGTGCGCGAAGGAACAATGGAACCTTTCAATGCAATTTTCTTGAAAATGATTTTTGCGTCAGAACGCTCATATGCCCTTCTGCCGGGCACCCGACGTAATATCTTGAAATCTCATATAATTATGTTTCTACTTTTACACCTTTTCTGTACAATGCACATTTCGTCAACGAAGAGGATCCGTGGACGAACAAACACCCGAGTGGACTTGAGTGTGCGCTACGTACGCGTATTTTACAGACGGATTTTCGTTTTCATTAAGTAACACTGTGCGCTCACCCGGTACATTTTCGTTTTCACGAAGTAACGCCCATCTTTACTTCACCAGTAGGCTTGTATTACATTGTTTCTGTAATCCCACAAGAATACGGATTAATTACATTCATCATCAAATGTTTTTAAAGGTTTTGTTTTATCCAAATTGTATTTCCGCGTAACAGTGTTGTAACTTTGTGAAAACGAAAATAGTCCTCGGCAGTGATAATTATGTCCGATGTGCGTGCGCACACGTGTGATATTTCGTGAAACCAAAATGTGTCATGTATACGGTTTTCACGAAGTAACACTAGAGTGGACTTGGGTGTATACTTCGTGGTGTCGGTGACGATTTTGTTAAAATTCATTATTCACTGTAAATGGTGGTGCTATTTAAGTTTGAATTAACGTTTTTGTTGTTGTTTTTCTTTCCTTTTTGTGTACCCTCTTTCTTTGTCAGACATGTTTATAATGTTTGCACAGTATGGAAGCCTCATTTATGGAGATGTTGGCACACAGCATTAGACATTTCGCAAGTTATACTTCTGAAACAAGTCAGAATGCGGTTGACTGTGATGTTTAAAAGCAAAAGGGGGGGGGGGACAATAATACAAAAAAAAGGACACCCCCCCATTTTTTTTCTACATGCCCGTATACCTTTGTGAAAACGGTGACGATTAATGACCGATAAAATAACCAACATTGTGAACAGTTTTATGGCTATAGGAAATCACACGAAACTTTGCTAACTTGTTTCTTTTTCCGTTTCAGGTTCCAAAATGCCGATGTATGGAGGAGGGAATAAATGCCCAAAGTGTATGGGAAGTGTGTACAAGGCCGAAGAAGCGCCAACCCCGGTACAGGGCCACACTTGGCATAAGCTATGCTTCAAATGCGGTAAGCTATGATAATTATTGGAAGCTATGGGCTCCGTGCGCCAACCCCCCCCCCCCCAAAAAAAGAAGGGTTTTTTTCAACACTTTCAGAGCCCCGTGGATGACGGACATTATTAACGCAATTTATTGTGTTTAAATGCAAAACACAGTTTTGAGAGTATGATAATAAGGCCCAAAAAAAAATTCGGTCTCTGGTCAGACCAAAGTTCCGGAATTGACGCGGCCACAAGCGGCTTTTTTTTTTTTGCTTTATTTTTTTTTCTTCAAGCTTGGATTGTACAGACAAGGTAGGTACTATTTTGCTTTTTTGGTGTCCTCCATAATTTGGCTTGGTGCTTTCGATCATTTGCCTTGGTGCAATTTCCCATTCCTTGGTGCTCTTTGGTAAAAAAAAATGAGGAGGTGCGGAAATAGAGGACGGTTAATTTTGTGTATTTTACACGCCATCAACATGGCGTCGCGGGGGGGGGGGGGAGCAAGGGGGTGCTTGCCCCCCCCCCCCCCTCGAAAAAAAAGAAGGATTTTTAAAAGAGATGCGAAGCCATTTTGCTGATAATTTGATGGGGTGGGGCAAATGTTCCCTTGCCCACCTTCGGAAAATGAAGAATTGAGAATATGATGAAAAAGTTAAGACATTTTGGCGAAAAACGTGTTTGACCCACGTCCCATTGCACCCCTAGAAAAAGTCCTGGCGACGCCCATGGCCATCAGCAATTGATCCGTGTGCGTATGAACCATTTTGTCGAAAGGAAGATACATTGTTGTTCAAGTTGTAACTGGTCACATATTATTGAGGTTATTTTTTATCCACAGACATGTGCAATAAAATGTTGGACTCTACCACAGTCGCTGAGCACGAACTGACATTGTACTGCAGACAGTGCCACGGTAAACTCTACGGGCCGAAAGGCTACGGCTACGGCGGAGGGGCTGGCGCTCTATGTATGGACCATGGGGAGAGATTCGGTATGCAGAGGCCGGAAGGGTGAGTATGAATAGACTCAAGTACGCCATCAACGGTGAAAAAGGAGAGATGGACAGAAGCGCCATTTCTGAATAGAGTCTTTATTACGTATACCAATAATACTTGAATGCATAAATGGTACCACACTTGTGTTCACAATGAAAACAGCGATCGTAGTTGACCACAGCCAAGTGGACTTCAAGATTTTCATTTTTTTTTTGGTGATGGGGGGGATGCTAAAAAATGCGTTGTGTTAAGGAAGCCAAGCATGTAGGCCTATTGGTTTTCATCGTCTCCAACAAAATGTTATGCCACCTGATGGTTTGTACAGTTTCTTTAAAACCACTTGTGGAATCTCATACATTGTCAAGTGACGAAGAAACTGATGAGACCATGACTCCGTTTAAAAATTATGGATGTTGCATAGGCACATGATCTTTCAGAAAATTATGTTGCATATTGCAGTATCTCTTGAAATATAAGTGGTTTAAGGTATCGGCAATTGTTTGTCAATGCGGGCAAAATAACGTGAGAAAGATAATTTAGTATCAGTGTCATGTCAGTTGCCTGTCGGCATGACGTCACAGGGGACAGAAGCCGCATCAAGGGGCAAGTTCGAGCAAGGACCAGTGGTTAACTAGTGGTTGGTTCGTGACACCTACAATCCCGGCCAAAATGGTTGGGACACTTCCTGAGCCTGCCACGGTCACCCACTCCTCTGCTCCCCCGGTCAATGTTGTTCTCTCCAGCTGATGGAGCACACACCGCGCAATGAGAGACAACATTGAACGGGGGGTTGGGGGCCCAGCGAGATTTGGCCAGGATTGTAGCGCATGCATGCGTACCGAAGTTGAAGTGCGAATGACTCTAGTCGAACTATGTCAACGACCGTCCAAAAATGGCGGTCGCACAATTATTCTAAACCTGTTGTTTCTCTTTATTTACACAAATAATAGTGATTGTGTATAGTTTAGAACATCTTACATAGTCGCCAATATTATTATACAATGGTGACAAAAGTGACATAATCGTAAACTAACATGGAAAACCTGTGCAATGAAAATGAAATTTAGCGCTCACCGTTTCGTTTTCCGCCATTTTTGTTGATAGTTGGTCCCCTTTGCACTATGCACTACACAGAGTTCGGGCTAACTTTAATAGAACTATGGTTATAACCATTGGTCAACAATAGTTCTTGCGCGAACTTGACCATGGTATACAAAAACCGACCCGTCATATATTGAAATACGAATCATATTTCTTTCTTCAAGCCAAACGTGAAAGTATGCAATATAAGGTGAACATTTATGCATGTACACTTTATAGGGGCCCTTCAACAATGGCACAGGCTTATGCAGGGGCCGACTACCAGTGCACACCTCCCCCAGAAGGATCTGATATCTGCCCACGATGCGGCCGGGCCGTCTATGCTGCGGAGAAGAAACTCGCCGCTAACCACGTAGGTATTATAATTTTTGAAACGAGGCCTGATTCAAAGACATGAGGGAGTAAAGTAAAATCCGTCATGAGTCAATATTGTCCCGTCGGGCCGGCGTTTATCTCCGGTTCCAGTGGCATGATAGAAGCGAATTACACTATTTCTATTCCCCCTGGATGGGATGGCAGGCCATCACATGGTACTCCTCATCTAATGCCGGCACCCATCTAGGCCTATACTTGATTCCTGAGCTGAGAGATGCAAGTGGTGTAGAGTCGCTTGCCCAAAAACACAAGCATCTGGATTTGAACGCTGACCGTTTAAATCACAAACCCTAACCACATAGTCCCAAATCAATAAAACTACAAAGTAAAGGTTTTGATAAGTGTCAATAAATTTTTTTTGAGTGTATTTAATAAACATTAGCTTCCAGCTCGTAGGCTATTTATGTCCATGTCTGAGAGAGCGTTGTGGTTGGTTCTTGGGCTGAATTTTAAAGGCAATGTTCAACTAGAACTCGCCCAATTCAAATTGACATGTCAAAAAATACTGTTTTTTCGGCGACATGCAATCGGGCGTGTTTGAACTATGGGGACAGTTTAATTATGAAATTTGACCCAATTTGGGTAATCAAACTACTAACATTGTGTCATTTCTTGCAGTCGTGGCATAGCAAATGTTTCTGCTGCGCTTACTGCGGCAAGGGGCTAGATTCAACCACAGTGAGGGACCGAGACCATGAAGTCTTCTGTGCTCGTAAGTTGTTTCCTTCTGTGATTTTTGTTTGTACATTGGCTTCCATACCTAGATAGCTAAAGCTCCGGCTGGCAGTTGCTTTTTTTCAAGAACGAAGTTTGTCTCTGGCCATAATGCACATGCGCCTGCTTTAATTATTCACTGAATGGTTGAAATCCTCCCGAGCCGTAATTTGAGAACGAAAGGTAAAACTTATAAGAGGGCCACAATGAAAGAAGGTACATTGTATTAAATTTGGTATACTATAGGAAGATAAGGTCGATGGGATTTGGATCTGTGGTGTTCAGTCTCCGCTTGCTGCTCCTGAAGACCCAAATTTTTGAAACGGCAAAAATTGTGACTTTCTAGAGGCAAATTTAGCTCGGCGGGGGTGGGGTGGTGGTGTGTGTGGTGGTGGGGGGTTGCAACCTCCAAACCTTCCTCCATGTAGATCCGCCACTACCAACTGTCTTTTCAGAGCATCTTCTCAGTTCTTCATGGTCCTTAAACAAAACAATTGTCAGTGGCAAAACCGAGGCCGCCTCATTATAGGCCATATGACCTGCTGCTCCTACCTAACCCGAAGGCGAAGCTGCGGTTTTGTATTTTTTTAAGTGGTTCTCGTGGCCTATTTATGTATGTTGTTCCCCTTTTCTATCTTTCAGACTGCTACGGTAAGGGATTCGGTCCTAAGGGCGTTGGCTACGGAACAGGGGCGGGAACTCTTAGCACCTCTTAGTCTGGCACCATCGTCCTAAAGGATGAAGAATGGTGATACAATGTTCCACGCACAATATTTACAGAGACTTGGGTGAATGTTGGCAGCAGAAAACAGGCACCAACCCTGCTTATAAGACCTTGAAGTGTTATACCGGAACGCGTGATACCTATACCGAAACCCAATTTCACAACAAGATTAGGCCCAATTTCATGGCTCCGCTTGCCCCTTAAAGGGGAATCTTAGCAGACAATTATGTGCTTTAATCGGTAAACGATTTCCACAGGTAAGCAGGTTTTTGTTGTTATCATCTCGTAGGGATTCTGTACGCATAGGGTTAGCGCATAATTTTTTCGTTGGTTCCACAAGCACAGAATAGTGATCGCTTACGCGCAGAATTTGGTGGTTAACAGCGTATTACAAAAATGGTGAATAGTTGCAAACAAAGCACCCGCTAAAAAAAATCCCCCTCCACCATTTTTTCTCGGTACGATAAAGCAAAAAGGTGCTACATAATGGGTCTCCTATGTTCATATACTTCATTTACCTGTCTGGTTCCATTCTCCCCCAGCGCTTGTATCCGCTGGCAAAAGGCGCAACATCAATACATGTTATTATTATTATATGTTATTAAAATCAAGTTTGAATATTGAAGGTGGCATCAAAGATTTCAAGTTGCTTGCTTTCAAACGTTGTCTCAAATTGTACATTTTCAAAAAACATGTATCTCCCAATGGATATGCGGTGGAACTGTCCGTTAGTCGGCATAGATTCTTCCTCTTTTGCAACAGGGTTGTAAAGGTTTTTGTGCTAGAACATTTTAATGTATAGATTGTTTTGCTTCCGATTTTTTTTCGTATTGTGATTTTAGAGAACTAGATGTTTTAGTGGTGAAACAACAATTTGATACCTAACCTGAGGGCCTTTCCGATTGTTAAGAGTTGGTTAATTGTATTAGTTCGTGTATGCATGCTGCGCAAGTATCCAATATTTAAAGGGAGAGTAGACCATTTTGTCATTGCTCAAAATCTAAACAATACCTGATGAAGCGTTAGCTCGTGAATGTTGTATATGTTGAGAAAACACAAAGTTCTGGATTTCGATTTTAACTCAAAAGTTGATGAGTCAGGACACAATCCCGAAATCAGCATTCGGGACATGATTCTCATTCAGCCGATTATTGCTACGTAATGTCAAGAACTGAGCCAACGATTTTCGTTAATCATAGCAACCGCGCGCGCGTGTGCGTCGTGTCAACAAGCTTGCACCCATTCACGGATTCGACCTATTACAAACCAACTGCCAACGGAAATTTCGAAAAAAATGTGTCACTTGACACATCTTTAGAATTACTTTTTATTGTTTTCTTTAAAATTACAGCATGCCAGATGGAAAAAAAATCACATGAACTTTATTGTCATTACTATCTTTAAAAAAAGGAAGCTTTTTAACAAGAATTTAAATGAGTTACTTCTTCGATAACTGAAATTGTCTACTCTACCTTTTATCGGCAATTTGGTGGTATTGGACCATTGTGCTTTGTTTACTTTCTCTTTCGTGTTTTACTTGTTCAAAAATGTATGTATATGAATATTACTGGTGCTGTATTTCTTAGGCTTTTTCACCACAATGTGCCTTATGAGAACGTATTTCTAGAAACGTAACTATGCAACTGTATTAGAGTATTGAACTGTTTTAAAAGTGTAAAAAGAATTATTTAGCCTATACAATTTGTGCTGAGGATTGTATTTGTTTCTATGACTTTATTGGGTGAATTCATTTTCAAGTATGGAACCTCTCAGTGAAATACGCACTCTTTCCATCTTTGCATAATTATCAATTTTTAAACATTGTGTTGACTTTTGCACTTGGGAATCCAAGTTTTAATAAAAATATCCCAATGTGTGATAAGTTAATTAAAATTCAACCCATCCAAGATTAAGAGGAACTCGTGCATTTTTTGTTTGTTGCTGCCTGTTAGGAGGAACACAGTGACGGATGGGAGGGGGGTTTGCATCCCTCACCCTCACCCCCCTTCCCCGCGTTAATTAGCCGTTGACTGGTGTTATGATACTTGGGAAACAAAATGCTAAACCTCCTAAATTTCTTCTCGAATGGGCTAACAATGCAGGAGAAAGCATCGTAGATTTCAAAATTTTCCGGGAGGAGGGTGGCCTGCCCCGAACGACGCCCCCCCCCCCGCATTTACTCAGCCCCTTCATATCAATTTGCCCCTAGAACATTAGGAGGTACAGTTGTATTCCCTACACAACGGCGGTAATATACCATGCCCCTTTCATCAGAATTGGTGGAACTCCCCAAATCCTTGCAGACAAAAAGAGATTGCTTGCACAAACTAATACCCTAATTTCACTTGTTCCCCAAAGTTTGCGTGCTTCTAGGGAGAGACTTGAAGAGCGCCTTAATGTGGATTTCTACTGGTTTTTAAGAGAGCGGCCTCAATACATGAGAGGGAAACAAGCCCGCCACCAATCTTTTTGACTTGCTTCAAACCTAGGATCATGATGAATCCGGACTAGCACACACAGAAGAAAACTTTACCTGACTGAAAAGTGTCTATTTTTAAGGTACACATTTCGCCAGATGAATTGGCCTATTTGTTGCCAAATGTCCTGAAAGAACTTTCAAAAACTAAGGTTTAAAATGAGTGTCGAAGTCATAGTTCGTCAGTTCAAGGCATCCCCATTTTACCTTTACGAAAATTATAATTGATAATAGTTGGTCTAATAAGACCTTGCCGCCTTGAACAGCCAACTACGTTAAGCGCACAGGTACACACAGGCGCATGGGCGCATCCTCCATTGATTGATGCCATATGGGAGGATAACAATATGAAAAAGCTACTTCAGGGCATCCAGAGACACCCCCCCCCCCACACACACACCAGTTGCGTCAATGCCTTTGAAGTCGGTGCTGCGTACAATGAGTTTGTTCATAACTTGTCTGTAAAATGAACCTGGAAATTTCTGTGGAATCGACTCCACTATAAAAAAAAAAGCAACGCTGCGGCAGAAGAAAAATACACAATATAGCAGCGTCATAGTTAACCTCTGCTGGCGCGCGTTTGGGACTCGTGTACAGGAAAATTAACGTGTAAAAGTTCCGAATATGCTATCGGAAGCATTCTGGGAGAACCCGTTATCATTTTCCCAGACTCAGAGGTTGTCGAGTGAGCATTAATGAGGGGGGCGCATGATAAGTGACTTGACGAAAGTAGAACGGGTCAAATTTATCCTAGCCCACCTTGAGGCTGTGAACCGTCGATTCTTCTGCCGCAACAGGGTGCTACAGGTTCAGGCCCCTCTACGTCAAGCCAGGGCACCATGAAGTGCTACAACAGCCGCAAAACAAGCTACTCCAAAAGGGTGTCATAGTCCTGTAAAATGTCACGAGGCAACACTACCAGCACCCCGTTCCATCTCACCCGAAGGACTACACTGACCAACAAGCATCCATGCAGCATCCAGAATCGAGATTCCATTATCCCGCATCCAGCAGCCCACAGCCAGCATCCAACAGCCAAAGCCATCAGCCAGCAGCCAGCATCAAGCAGCCAGAAGCCAACATCCAGAAGCCCGCAGCCAGCATCCACCAGCCAGAGTTAGCAGCCAGCATCAAGCAGCCAGAAGCCAGCAGCCAGCATCCCGCAACACCACCAGCGAACCACTAGGACAATGCACCCAATTCCATCTGACCCCAAAGGACGACAATGACAAACAAGCAACCAACCAGCATCCATCATCCCACAGCCACCAGCGGGCAACCAGCAGCCAGCAGCCCGCAGCCCGCAGCAAGCAGCCCGCAGCAAGCAGCCCGCAGCAAGCAACCAGCATCCAGCATCAAACATCCAGCAGCAAGCTGCAAGCATCTAGCAGCCCGCAACACCACCAACAAATCCCTGGGACAATGCACCCCATTCCACCTGACCCCAAAGGATGACAATGACAAACAAGCAACCAACCAGCATCCATCATCCCGCAGCCACCAGCCGGCAACCAGCAGCCAGCAGCCCGCAGCAAGCACCCAACATCAAACATCCAGCAGCAAGCAGCCAGCACCCAGCAGCCCGGAACACCACCAGCCAATCCCGTTGACAACCACCCCATTCCATCTGACCCCGAAGGATGACAATGACAAACAAGCAACGAACCATCATCAAGAATCCAGCATCCATCTTCCGGCAGCCAGCAGCCGGCAACCAGTAGCCAGCAGCCCGTAGCCCGCAGCCCGCAGCCCGCAGCCCGCAGCAAGCACCCAACATCCAGCATCAAACATCCAGCAGCCAGGAGCCACCATCCAGCATCCAGCATCTCGCAGCCACCAGCCAGCGACCAGCAGCCAGCAGTCCGCAGCAAGCACCAATCATCCAGCACCAAACATCCAGCATCCAGCAGCTAGCAGCCAGCAGCCAGCAGCCAGCATCCATTATATATCCATCAGCCAGCAGCAATCAGCAAGCATCCAGCAGCCAGCTGAATCAAGCATCCAGAATCCTGCAGCCAGCATCTACCAGCAAGCAGCAATCAGCCAGCAGCCAACATCAAGCAGCCAGCTACCAGCAGCTGGGACAGTGCACCCCGTTCCATCTGACCCGAAGGACGACAATGACAAACCAGCAACCATGCAGCAGCATCCAGCAGCCCGCAGCCAGCATCCAGCATCCAACACCCAGCAGCCCGCAGCCAGCACCCAGCATCCAGCAGCCCGCAACCAGCATCCACCAGCCATCAGCTAGCAGCAAGCATCAAGCTGTCAGAAGCCAGCTGCCAGCAGCCCGCAACACCACCAGCCAACCACCGGGACAATGCATCCTATTCCATCTGACCCCGAAGGACGACAACGACAAAAAAACAAGCAACCAAAGAAAATCCAGCATCCATCATCCCGCAGCCACCAGCCGACAACCAGCAGCCCGCAGCAAGCAACCAGCGTCCACCAGCCATAGCCATCAGCCAGCATCAAGCAGCCAGAAGCCAGCTGCCAGCAGCCAGCAGCCCGCAACACCACCAGCCAATCCCTGGGACAGTGCACCCCATTCCATCTGACCCCGAAGGACGACAATGACAAACAAGCAATCATCAAGAATTCAGCATCCATCATCCCGCAGCCACCAGATGGCAACCAGCATCCAACATCAAACATCCAGCAGCCAGTAGCCAGCAGCCCGCAACACCACCAGCCATCCCTGTCACAGTGCTCCCCATTCTATCTGACCCCGAAGGACGACAATGACAAACAAGCAATCAACAATCATCCAGAATCTATCATCCCGCAGCCACCAGCTGGGAACCAGCATCCAGCATCAAACATCCAGCAGCCAGCATCCAGAATCCAGAAGCCCGCAGCCAGCAACCAGCATCCAGCATCCAGCAGCCCGCAACCAGCATCCACCAGCCACAGCCAGCAGCCAGCTGCCCGCCGCACGCAGCAACTATGCAGCATCCAGCAGCCCGCAGCCAGCATCCAGCATCCAACATCCAGCAGCCCGCAGCCTGCAGCAGTAACAATGCACCTCGTTCCATCTGACCCCGAAGGATGACAATGACCAACCAGCAACCATGCAGCATCCGGCAGCCAGTATTCAGCAGCCAGCAGCCAGTACTCAGCAGCCAGCAGTCAGCAGCAGCATCCAGCATCATCATCCCAGCAGGATTGAGAGCTGATCTACAGCCTACAGGTCTTGTCTCGGACTGCTGCACTCAACCGACCAGTAACAGCCAGCAACCGTCAGCCAGCAGACAGCAGAGAGCAGCCCGCACCCAGCATCCAGCAACCAGCATCCAGCATATCAATTAGCCAGCAGCCCGCAGCAAGCATCCAGCTTAAAGCATTCAGCATAAAGCATCCAGCAGCCCGCAGCCAGCATCCACCAGCCAGCAGCCAACATCAAGCAGCCAGCAGCCCGCAACACCACCTCATTCCATCTGACCCCGAAGGACGACAATGACCAACCAGCAAGCATCCAGAATCCACTATCCATCATCCCTCAACTGACGGTCAGCAACCAACATCAAGCAGCCAGCAGCCAGCAGCACGCATCACGACCAGGCAACCACTGGGACAATGCACCTAATTCCATCTGACCCCGAAGGACGACAATGACCAACCAGCCAGAATTCAGCATCCAGAATCCAGCATTCATCATCCCGCAACCAGCAGCCAGCATCCACAAGCCAGGAGCCCGCAGCCAGCAGTATGAACAATGCACCACGTTCCATCTGACCCCTAAGGACGACAATTACCAACCAGCAACCAGTAGCTTGCTGGTTGATGTATTAGTAGTTTTATGAGCTTTTTAAATGTATTCAAATAACATTCAAACTAAACATTTTAATGGACTAGTAATATATATTTAGCTTTTTATAAGTATTGAAGTAATTTCTTTGTAAAGCGCATTGAGATTTCGTATGTAATGCGCTATATAAGAACTAATTATTATTATTATTAGCAGTATCCAGAAGCAGGATATGGCCAGCGGTCTGAAAGGAGGCATACATTTACAACCGAGTCCTTTGCACCACTTAGGCAGTAGGACGGAGAGCTGATCTCTTGTCTCGGACTGCTGCACACAACTAACAACCAGCAGCCAGCAGAGAGCAGAGAGCAGCCCGCACCCATCAGCCAGCAGAAAGCGTCCAGCATATCCATCAGTCAGCAGCCCGCAGCAAGCATCCAGCATCCCGCATCCAGCAGCCAGGAGCAGGGAAAAGAGGCGGTTGTCTTGCATGATTAGTCAGCAAACTTGCTCACATCAACACAGACCAGTAACCAGCAGACAGCAGAGAGCAGCCCGCAGCAAGCATCCAGCAGAAAGCATCCAGCATATCCGTCAGCCAGCAGCCCGCAGCAAGCATCCAGCATCACGCAACCAGCATCCAGCAGCAGGGACAAGAGGCGGTTGTCTTGCACAGTTAATCAGCGAATCTGCTCACATCTCAAAGACCATGCCTCTTCGCCATGGTCTATTACATTAACTAGTCTGGCCCTTGACGGCCTTGGGAGCATTCTTTTAAAAGTACTGATTCATGCTGAGTCAGAACTATTTTGTAATGTGGTTTTTTTTCATGCGGTATGCACGACAAAATTGTTCTTGCCCTTTTTCTACGTACTTGGATACCAAAAAGACATAAATCATGCATTTTCTACCAATTACTCATCGAAAAAAATCCTTTAAAAGCCTGCTGGCTGATGTTCTTGTTAGTATGTTGTACTGCAGTGAAGAGTACCAATGTACATGCACATATACATAAGTAAATTTCGCAAATAAACTTGGGAATTTGAGGTCTGACTCGCCAAAAATCACGTTCTGGCAATGTCTAAGACATTCCACTATCAGAAAAGAATCTAACAAAATACTTGCCCCACTAAAACATTGATTTGAGTTCAGCCACAAAAAGTGCGCATTAGTACTTTTTCACTGCAAGTATATGTATAGACATGCATGGAAAATGCAGTGATGGTGATTTCTTTTTAACTTGGGCCTAGGGACAAGCATGGATTCAATTTCATAAGAAACCGTCAAACATTTTGGCCTAAACACTATAGTGTTTTAACACTATAGTGTTTTAAACGCAAAAAAAATCGGAATAAAAGTCAATTTTCAAGGAACAAAAGCAACACATTGCTCTTGCAAAGGAATAATTCTTGTTTTACTGAATTAAAGTTCATTCGTTACACTATTTTGCAAGGGCATTTTACCCGAACGCTTTGTCAAAAAAGGGCGCGCTAAACATTTTGAAAACAGTGTTCTCGCACGGAGACAAACTTGCCTAACGATGTACTATAAATTTCTTTCAATAGTGGGCGCACCACATTAATAGTGGTCACCGCTACTGACAAAACATCAACACGGAAGCCTTACAATTGAATACATAAGAACACACTCGTTTGGGTTATAACTCAAGAAATACCAGATGTCTTAAATTGAACTTTTAATCTAGTGATTTGTCATCATGTGCAATATAAGGAGATTTAATTTCATGAGAAACCGTAAAACAATAACATAAAAAATGACCGAAACAAGATATAAAATAAATAAATATTTGTCCAATTATAGGTCGTAATAATAAAACAAGTCAGTCGAAAATGGAGAGAAAATCGTCAAACAATAAAAAATAATATAACTAAAACTAAAATTTCCTTTCGAAAGAGGACGCGCTACACATATAGTGGTGACCACCTTAAAAACATTTTGTCAACACGGATGTGCCTAACTGAAATCAAACACGATCGTTTTCCAGAAAATATTTCAAGAAATACCTGCTATATTGAAATAAAATGATTGGTCGTTAATCGTAATACACTTCACAAATTTCTTGAAATCGAGAGAAATCGTCAAACAATTAAAAAAACAATACATAACTAAAACAATGTGGTGTATTAAAGGGAATATACAACATTTGCAAACCTCGAAAAATAAAACTACCAAGTTTCTACAAAATACCTTAGTTGGATGTTGGTAAATGACAGTCTAAAGCATCCTGTAAAATTATGGCACCTGGTTTGAAGTCATTTTCACGAAAATGGTATGTTGTTTACATTTCCAACGGTGGTCAGCCGACCACCGTTGGAAAAACCTAACCATTCTTCAACTACTGCTCCAAATTTACCTTTTTTTTTCAGTCCAAATTTTGTTTGCCTCTGGTTACATGTTTATGAACGGGTGCAGGCCGGCTAGACTGGTTCCCTTACCTTACAATTTTCCGGCATTTATATATTGATGCATTGTATCTTCAGTGGAGTCAGGGAACCAGACTACTTGAAAAAAACAAATTCTTTTTTTTTCAGCATGTTCGAACACAAAACTTCAAACATGTCAGTGTCAAATAGTTCATTTCTGAAAATTACAGCAAAAGCCAATGATGTACATGTACATTCTCTTTAACCATGAGAAATACCATCCCAATAAAAGTCAAATTTTAGGGAACAAAAACAACACACTTTTATCATCGAACTGAACAATCCTATCACCAATCTGCTGTACTATGAACTACTTCATCGAGATATCGAACTTGCTTATTGACAGCGTTGCCTGTCCTGCCTGAATAATTTGGCAAATCACTAGTTGAGGACATTGATAATTTAGCCGTTGAATTGGAAACTTTGGAACGACGAAGGTTTAAACTACGTATTGTATGCAAATCATGCACAAATAAGAGAACTTTGAAGCTCTTGTGGGAGATTAAAGTCTGAAATGTATGCATATTATTTTTAAAACCTACAACCGTTTGCTTGGTGGTGTCACTGTTGCGATTGGTATATCCTTCAAGTTATCCTACGAAACGAGAGCAATGACGAGACAGGTTAGTTTAGTTTAGAACTTATTGAATGTTATACACAGGTCGTTGATGATGAAGTTTGGTGTAAGAAGTTAAAGGTTTTGACTACTCTTTGGGAAGGATAGGCTATATTCACCTTGACTAAAAAATAATCGGCCACAAAAATGGCGACCAAAGACGAACTTTGGAAGTCTTATCAGTGTTTGCGTTGACTATGTACGTTTACAGTGGATGCAAAGCTCAAACCCGCCAAAATTTACTGGAACACGGTTGATCCGCTCGTTCACGCCCCTGCAAAGGGCGACATGTTGACTTCAGATTTCTTTATATTTCACTTGATAACTAATGACCCCGGGTAAGCACTTGCGCGCTTATTTGTAACAGTATAATTTATGCGAATGTTTTGCAGATATTTAATTTCCTTCACCAATTTTGTAAAGGTATACGCCCTTGCGTAGGGCGGGTAGTACGTACAACTTGACAAAATATCACATCATTGAAATGCATCCTTGTCATTTTCGCCAGGCGTCTTTTACAGGTATTTTTGGGTCTTTGAGGTTTTATGCTAATGCCATTTCCATATTCATAAGCAAATCCATGATGTTAGAGGCTGAAACGTCAGCGTAATACAGCTGCTTCAGCATCGAATGTTGGCAGTTTTTTTTTAAGCAGTCAACTCTCTGGTATAATTTTTTATTCATCGTTGATTCCTACTTGACAGTCAGTTATTTAGCTAAGATTCAATACAACTGTATTCAATGAGCAACATTTTGGAAGTATTTAATTTGACGAGTTTGTGCCTAAAGTGATCTCAAATGCAGCAATATCTATGCCCTCGGTTATTAGAAATAGCATGGGGAAAGAAATGCACTTCAATTCTTTATCAAAAACGGTGTCGGAATATTTTTAAAGAGTTCAAAGGAATGGATATTTGAACAAAATATGTTTTCAGAATTTGTCAATAACCATAACATTGGGTTACACAACGCCATCTTCCGTTCTGCACAGAGTCCAATTGCCCTTTGTCGACGCCTTTTTTGTACCGCTGTCTTTACGCAGGTTGTGTTCGTATTGACCGTTCTGGTGTGCCTGCTGTCGGCCTCTGGCAACTTCGCTCAGCAAAGCGAAGCCGAGACCTCGGGAGAGACTCCATCTTGTTGTGGAAGCCTCCATTGTTATCCAGGCACGCCCGGAACTCCAGGGGTCCCCGGTGTTCCAGGCAATCACGGCTTTCCTGGACCGACAGGACCCAGGGGTGAGCCTGGAACGGGAATCAAAGGAGACCCTGGAGCAATGGGGCCATCAGGAGGGGTAGGTCCGTCCGGATTTACGGGTCCGCAAGGTCCGCTCGGTGTTGCTGGTCAGAAGGGCGAACCAGGGGTAGCCGGTCTTGCTGCTTCCAGCCCCAGCGTGGCCTTTACCGCTCTCATGTCCTCTGGCGTGAGTGGGCCGAATCGAGACGGCGAAATCATCATTTTCGATCACGTGGTGACCAACGTTGGGGACGACTTCGATTCGGAAACGAGCAAGTTCACTTGCTCAGTACCCGGTGTTTACTTCTTCGAAGTCAGCCTGCTGTCCAGGACCCAACCCTACGCAAAGCTTATGAAGAACGGGGAACACATATTTTCGGTTCACCACAGCGACTCGGGCACTTTTCAGCAGTCAAGCAATTCCGCTGTTCTCACCTTGGCGAACGGGGATGAGGTTTGGGTGCAAATTGGGGACGATACAAACAGAGGCATATATGGTGATACCAGATACTCCTCCTTTACAGGATTCCTGATCAATCGCATGTAATGTTATGCTCTCACACTAGCCCCTGGTTTCCTTTTCCGAGTTAAAAAAAAAGCAGGCGCGGCTGTAGACCGATCTCGTTTTCTTACTTACCTTGTCCGTCGTGAGTTTTATTGATGAGTTGATTCATGGAACAAAATATGAGACATCATAGCAATCCCATTATTGTTCCGTGCACTGTTTACTTTAAAGTGCGCCCTCACCCGAGGGGGTGTTCACTACATCTGATTTGCAATTTCAGGATTCGGAATACATCTTGATAGTTTCTCGAGTCATGAACTGTTTTACTCAAAATAAACATTTGTTTAATTGTTGTTCCACGATTTCTTAAAATTTGCAAATTAATATTACATTGCGTAATGTTTGTTTTTATATAATTGACAATGTGTATAAAACAAAAAAATCCAAGTAAAACAATTTCGCTGGTTTCCCGATGTTTGGCTGCACTTTTATTTGTCAGGCAAAACAAGTCAGTTATAGTGTTTACATGTCTCTTGAACAAGATAGCTACACACAAAGTCAAGGCACATTTTGTATAAAGACCTAGCACTTCATTACACTTGGAGTGACATGCTGAATCAGAAAAGCATTCGAGATAATTGCAAATAAATGCAGTTTTTTTCCTACAATCCTAAAGGTATTGGACACCACAATTTTTGGGGGTTTAAAGATAGTATGGACAGATCTACCAAACTATATCTTAATTATTGTAAGATATTCATGGGCGTCGCGAGGGGGGGGGTGCAAGGGGGCGCTTTCCCCCCCCCCCCCCCCAACCCCTGGAAAAGCCGGACAAAAAGGAGGGAAAAAGGAAAGAAAAAGAGGCGCGAAGTCATATTGCTGTAAATTTAATGGATGGGGGGGGGGGGGCCAAATGTCCTTGCCCCCCTCTAAAACTGATAAATGGACAATGTGTTGGGAAATACATGATTATCTTTTGGGGGGTGGAAATATGTTTTTCCCTCCCCCCCCCAAAAAAAAAAACCCTGGCGACGCCCATGAAAATATTAGGAGTTTTCTGGGAGTAAAATTGGTACATTTCACTGTTTTGTCGCATTGGCGGTGTTGCTTATACATGCATTGAAAAATAAATGAACGTTTACTAGGCCAGGTGAGGTATGCACTTAAAATCTACTGAATTAGTATCACAAATATTGCCTAAAATCACATGCAACTGTTTTTGAGTTGTCAGAAATTAGTATTAAACGTTTGTGCTACAAATTACTAGAAATTGGTGTGAAATCAAAACTGTGTTCATGTGTAAATTTACCTCTGAAAAAAATTACCAAGATGAATTAATGTGACACAAAGGCTTTTCAGTAATTTGGGCGTATAGAAAAAAAAGGTATGAAAACAAATCACGAAATCCTGTTGCAATAAAAATCTAAAAGAACATAAATTAACTCTCTATCTTTGGTGTTTTGTGCTCGAAATAAACCTTTAATACATAAATCAAATGTACATGTAACTGAATTTGGTATAATTTGAAAGTATAATTGAAATTGTATGTTGTTCTTTCAGATACATTTTTTCATCTTACTGTTGCATTGGGGAATATCAAAGTGATTCGGACTTTTAAATCTACATTATTCAGGTGTTTGTCTAAACTGTTGAAATTTTGATCCAGTTTCATTTATACTTTGATTGTGGTCCAATGTCATGGGCAAATCTGATTTAAAATAAAGTAACGGTACATACATGCATATGAAATTGCTGTTTATCAAACTGATTTTGCGTGTTTTATTCAGTATTCTTTTTACATGTGTTACTTCTTCAATGAAAAATATGTTTGATTTGACCAAACAGGGTGGTCAGACGCATATTTCTCTGAATTGGGGAGACTTGTTAAAACTGTTTTAAGATACTCCTAAATAACAGCATCTTTGTGTTATACGGTGAATCGGCGCTGAAAATAAAGCCTAAATCAGGAAATGGCGATGGTTTGTCAACACAATAGCACTACGTGCACAAATAACTGTAATAATGTAACTTAACTTTAGACCCACATGAATGCCATAGCTTGGACAAACTAATTGTTCTTAACTTGACCTTTATTGTCAACGCCGTTTCACCATAATACCACCCATATCTTTTAGTGTAGGAATATCTTAAAATAAAATTGTTAACACGTCTCCTCAATTTTTGATAAATTTGTCTCTGAAAAAGTGTAAAATAAATGTTCGTCCACCCTGTATGTCGAGAAACTGACTTTACTAGAAATTGCTGTATTCGCGTTCCCATAGATATCAAGACTGATAATTTTGGATGATTTTGTGTTTGTTCTGGTTTGTGTTTTCTCTCCATGTCTTCTTGGTCTGTCTGTCAGTCCGTGTTTTACGTCCAGGCATCTTCCAACCAATCATCATCCATTCTTTTTTTTCTTCGGTTTTCACAAGAAACATTTTACACGTCAGGCTTTAAAGTTACCTTTATTACAGAGTACAAAAAAGTAAAATATTATGTGCAACTGCTCTTTGTTTGCTTTTTACAAATTGATGCATGAAACTTCAAAAGCCTATATCACTTTTATTGTTTGTGTTTTTATCCTAAACTACGATCAAGTGAAAAATATACATAAATGTCTTTGAGATGTTCTGTTATACGGCAACAAATATGGCACAATATCTAACAACGAAACGCACGAGCTTGATTAATTGAATTGAGCTGAAAGTACATAACTTAGGAAATATAATCAATATTGTACGGATACAGAAAACTCATATACCGAGTATGGGTCAATAAAACTAAATGAAAATCAAAGAGCTGTAACTTTGGGGGGGGGGGGAGCTTTATAAGAACTCATTAATATCCTGTGATCATCAGCACCTAAGTGTTTCAAAAATATGTACAATGAAACATGATGGTGAAACATGATGGTTGTAATTGAAAGTTTCCCCGGTATTCACTTTAGTGTCATTAAATTCACAAAAGCGTTAAATAAAACTATAATTTAACAACTCACATTGAACCAACGTGATGAACTCTGCTTGTACACGAACATACACTTAAATCGTGGGAAAAGCTACTTAATATTCCTTTTATAACGGTACCCTGTGTGCATCGTGGTCTACAGCGCATGCTCCCACAAAACTAAGATTCACAGAGCGGTTGCTGTTACAGTTGTCAATAAAATAAACGCTTGCATGGCAAATTCCATATAATGCATGCAGATTATGCACAAAACTGCGTTTTGACCTCCAGATTCTGACCAATCAGCGGGCGCTTCAGTCGTTTCTGCGGTAACCCGATGTTGTACTTCAAAAGAAAAGTGACAGCTTTTGCTAAAGTAACAGCTTTGGCTAATTTCTGCTCTAAAGACGTTACGACTTCTAAAGAAGTCTCCAATTGGCTGGTGGGCACGCGGGGTCGCGTAAAATTAGCATGTGCGGATATATCCGACGCTCGTAATGAGTGCTCTACACACGTTAACATCTGATCCACAGACTACTCTTACAGAGGCACCCATTGAAGCCTTTATTTTGACGAAATCCGGTTACGATCAGAATAGTACGCATACTGTTTTATTGGGTTTGGAATACGTGCATAACTACGCCTTTAAAGCTAAAGATCGCAAGGTATAATTTAGCAGACGAACGGGAATCCCCTGTCTACAGTTGCTGTACGGAGTTAATTTTGAAAATGCTCTGCGTTTCGGCATAAGAGTTTTTGTGACCCTTCGTCAATTTGCAGCACTGGTCTCAGCTAATTAAGGCTCACAACAAGGATCTGGCAGATATTAAGTGGAGGCAGACCGTTGTGTTTTCAAATGTATGGGGGGGGGGTCAAATGTATGCGATATATATCCAGAGTACGTTAATGTGCAAAAGCAAGAACAAAAGGTGTCCGTTGTAGTACAACCTGGTGACGTCACATATCCACTTCGGTCATAGATGGTAGGAGAGATCTCCGCCGGGGAGGTGGACGTAGAGGGCCTGCTGCCAAGGATCGACTCCGGCCTTGGAAATGTAGGAGAAAAAAGAAAAATCATAAAGTAGCCGATAATGTACAAAAATAAAGTGAAAAGTGACAACACCACTGGTTGTGGTGTGATTCTATGGCGCGGCTCAGTTACTCCTTAAACACTATACATTGTAAAAAAATAATGAAAAGGCTCATTTTGCGCCTCTCATACTACTTTAACCTTGATAGTGTTAGGGATAGCACAACAATCGTTATTCCCCCGCACCACCACCGCCACTAAACGGGGTTAAATTTGCTACTCGTACACTACTCCACTCGCACAATAATACACTCTAGGCTAACCGTTTTGCCGATTTGCAGCACCATTTGGAGCGAAGCTTTCTCTTCGTCCCACTCCGGCGTGTCCAGACGGCATGAGACTTGCCCTCTTGCCGAGCCTCCTCTGTTGTGAGGGAGATAGCTTCCCCGCCCCACCATGAGAGGGGGAAAACGGCGACCGGGCCCTCGATGGGCTATCGCCGACCTCGTCCGTGAAGTAAACCGATATCTGTGTTTTCTCGCCTACTGCAGATGAAGCCGTTTTCACGCTGCCGTTAGCTGTTACCACTCCAGAAACTAAATTGTAAAAAAGTACGAAGTAATTTTTTTTAAGTAAAATGATATCAGATCAGTCTTTCTGAGAATCTAAGGCAATGTACCATTGGCAATTAGGCATCGAGTGCGTTTATAGGTTACTGACGTGACCAGAATCACTTTGAAGATAATTGAGTTTACATCTTCAGTATTATTTATCTCAGAATTTTAAATTATCTGGCTTAGGCCAAAAAAAAAAAGTCGGTCTCTGGTCAGCGCGCGCGTCGATTTCAATCATGCGCGTCAATCTTTTTTTTTTCCAAAATGTTTCGCGGTAGCTCCAACAGCGCCCTCTATTGCCGCACCTTCTCAATTTTTTTTTACCAAAGAGCACCAAGGAATGGGAAATTACACCAAGGCAAATGATCGAGAGCACCAAGGCAAATTATGGAGGACACCAATGTACATGAGGACACCAAAAAAGCAAAATAGTACCCCACCTTGTCTGTACAATCCAAGTTTGAAGAAAGAAAAAAAGCCGCATCGCCGCGTCAATTCCGGAACTTTGGTCTGACCAGAGACCGAATTTTTTTTTTTGGCCTTAGTTGGAATTTCTTTCATTTGTTTTTATTTGAATATTCGTTGAAGACTTTTAAATGTTCTAATTTACCAATGCTCATTATGACTGTACTGCAATACAAAAAAGAAACCTGTAAAAATAGTGACATTGTGTCTGTTTTCACAAGTGGACAGGAAATATAATGGCAGAAGAAAACAAGACCGAAAGCGTCTCCTCGTTTTATTTACCTTTGGTTAAAGTGCTGCATGTCTGTTTTCCCTTAATGACACATTTCGAACACGTCAATCTACATGTGAACAGCAGCATTTTTTTTCAGGTGGACGGGGATCATTAAAAGTGCTCTTTCACTGGTCGATATTCCACTACCGGCGCACTCGCAAAATACACAGCACTGCCGTAACATTTTGGCCTGTTCGCCTAGGCAACCAAGGCGCGTGGGCCACCCCAGCAAACAAGAGAACCAGCTGTGTAAAACCCCGAGACGCGTCGGCAAATTGACTCATTCAGGGCCGTCAGTCCGACCGGTCCTAGCGCGCACGAGCCCCGCGTGTGCTTCCCGCCGGTGTACGGCAGCCAGCGCCGCCGTTTCGACCGTCCCAACTATACAATTGGCAGACATAATAGTCGATATTAATTAAAACCTTAAATAAACACGGCGGTGCGGATTATTAATTGACGGTGTATCTGTAATATATGACAAGGTAACGGTTTCAGGGTACGCCTTTACCTGGTAAATAATATCAGTGTAGATCGTTAACAGGGCTATTATGTAGGCGGTTTATGAATTCAGTTCAATAAAATTCGAAGAATGGCATTAAAATGGGTAAAGTGAGATTTGTTTTCCAGGCAGGCCCGTCACCTGCGGGCGAGCAACTGGCGCCCATCGGCAAAAACCATGAGCGTAAAAAATATATAGGCCTATGTGTGTGTTTTTTGTGGTCTGCCCCCTAGTTTGTACTGCGTCCCCCCCCCCCCCATGCCCTGAGCTGGCGACGGTGCTGTTTCCAGGTATATATCCAATAGTAGTTATCCTTCCTCGGCTTAACTATATCAACTCGTTCGCCTCCTGGCTTGTTTTTTTTAAGTAAGAAGAAAAGTGAGGCAATTGTGTTCTGTATCACAAAATTATATCGACTCGATCACTTTACAGCTAATCGAATGCATGCGCATGCGCCTTGAATTTTACTTATTAAAAAAAGATAATTGTGTAATGTACAGTAAACTCACGATATGAAAGTTGCCTATAATATGGGTAATGTATATGAATACTATATATTACTTCCAACACTTAAAAGAGTTATGAGAACTATATCACATAAATGTGTTTAAAATGTTTGTTTCAAACAAACAATGATGAAAAAACGGGAAAAATCTAGATGGTGCAAAATAGCAATTGCTCTCTGTTTTTCCTGGCTGCAAATGTATTTCACCTGCAATTTTGTTAGGGACAGAAACAAGCAGAACACAGGAACGAGAGACCTTGCTTCAGACCGCAACTCTGAGGCTGTACGGACGGGGCAGGTGCTCTGGTTTCCGCCCTCGGTGTTCTGTCTTCGCTGCTCCACCATGCCAACGAACCCGGAGGCCAATTGGACAGAGGCCATCCTTCAAACAATCACTCGACTGTTTTATGATTGTTTTTAAGCCGAACTCTTATTTCAGAATTCATTTTTCCCTACAAAATATGTCTTTAGTTACATGGTTAATTGTAAAAAGCATCTTTTAAATTATGGCCTTAACACTAAGACGAGACTAATACAGGTGTTGGCTACAAACTAGAAAGAATATAAAACGAGTGTAAACTCATCGTTAAAGTAGGTATCTTTTCACATTTCGTCTGACATTTCGTCTGAATTGTGAAAGATTATAATATAGGTAGAAGGGAAGCAAGATTCAGATAGGAAGGTCCAAAGACAGGCAGTATTACCTTAACATCAGTTGTCAGGTTTTTTTTTTTACTTGGTATTTTAACTTGGTATTTTAGAAAGAAGAAATAATACATCACTGCATCATGGCTTCGTTCGGCATATATATCACGCCTGGAATCCGAATGATTTCGCTATCAGCTGAATTCGCATTTTTACAAGTTGGCTTGAACGCCTGGATTTACCAAAATAAAAAGAGAACGATTATCGTCCATATACACTCATGGGCGTCGCCAGGATTTTTTTCCAAAAGGGAGGGGGGGGGGGCAAAGTTTGTCAACATATTCTCAATTTATCATTTTTCGAGCGTGGGCAGGGGAACATTAACCCTCCCCCTCCCCTCCCCCTCCCCCCATCAAATTAACAGCAATAATGGTTTCGCACCTCTTTTTCCGTTTTTCCTTTTTCGGGCGGGGGGGGGGGGGAGCCCTTGCGACGCCCATGCATACACTTAAGAGCTGTATATTTGCCGTGTTATTTCATTATGATTATCTTTTTTTATACCCCCCCAAAAAAAAAAACCCGAACGTATGATTTCTTTTGAAGTTGCCCTTTTAAAGGGGATGAGCAGGCAGCTCGGAGAGAATATCAAACAGCCGTTGACCAGTTCGCGCTCACAAACAGTCATCGAATAAATGATGGGAGAATCGGTGGTATTCCGTCACTGGGATCAGCCTACAAGCCGCTCTATCCATCTGCTAAGCCCTGTCGTGATCGTTACCCCCCCCCCCCTTCCTTCACTCATTCCTCCTCTTTTATCTCGTCGCCATGACACCAAGCCTCGGTGTCATCTTCTCAAGCTATCCCCACAGCGACCGCCCTGCAATCGATACCTGTAATAGCCCTTTCTCCATGAACCGCGAAATAATATTTTCTCAACCCCGAGGTGCTTGTTGGGGGGTTTGGAGGGCATGATCGTCGATAATGACACTTGCACATCTGCGAAGAAGCTTTTTGATTCCTTGTTTGGCCATTGTGATTCATCGTCGTTGCCATGGAACACAATTTTATACAGGTACACACATTTCGAAACTATTAAAGTGATGACATTGAGGACATAAGATTCTTGAATCATCACTCTTTCGTCAGCTATTTGACAATTATATCAGCTATACCTTTCCAGGTAATGAAGGTCTGGAATGAAACGTATGCACCGATTTGGGGAGAGATACACTTCATGTTTTATCTTTGAAAGATGAGATTGCGAACGTAAAGGTACATGAGATTATTTGCGTTTTGTGCCCCTGTTTTCGTTTGAGGCTACACGTACAATCGCTTAAGATCTTAATAAGGGTGCATAACAAATCGCTTGTGGAAGTTTCAGCTCAGCGGATACTATACATTTTTTTTCAGAAAACAGAGAAAACGTATGCACAATATGTTTGTGGTTTCGTATAAATGGATCCCATTGCTGAACGCACGTAAAAACTTGTGCACGTGGGCGCATTTTCTTAAACCACCTGCAATGATTGTTTTGTTCTACAGAATCATACTATTCCAGGCGGAATAATTTCACATGATATTTGGTACCAGTCTTTTCTTCACTTTGAGCAAGGAGTTTCTCGTTAAATCGGTATAGGTAAGTTTCCGGGAAATTACAAATGATCCTATACGTGCCTTCATGAAGAACTTTTGTCCCTGGGATTCATGCGTTATAATTTTGAAGAAGAAAAACAGACTGTACAGACTTTTGTTAAGGTTTGATAATGTTTATTATGTACAGCTTTAAGCAACGAAAATAGTAATTCAAATATTTATTATTGTACAAAATAAATAACTCCGGGTTCAGAAGAGGTACCTAGAGGTATTAGGAAGGGTATTGAAAGTAGAAACTCACCAGTTCTGAGGCAGCTATCCTCGCTACGTAAACTGTTGGTGTCGTACTCATTAGTAGACTGCGTGGAGTAGCCACTGATGCTGGATGATGCCATGTGGTTCCCGTGCGTCTTCAAGACGTCTGCAGCGCCAACCAAAGCGCGCTTCCGTTTCTTGGGCAGTTTCTGAGAGGCCTGTGCGTGCGTGTAATACAGCGAGAAGTTGTTGACAATGACGGGGATTGGTAAGGCAAGGGTCAGCACGCCGATGATGGCAGTACAAGCCCCGATGACCCTTCCCAGCCAGGAGCGGGGCACCACGTCCCCGTAACCCACGGTGGTGATAGTGACTACCACCCACCAGAACCCCACTGGGATGTCCGTAAAGTCGTTATCGTCGTCAATGTTCTTTGTCCATTTTTCGGCGTAGTAGATCAGACTGGCTGACACCAGAGTCACTAAAGTCACAAACACGATCATGAGGAGGAGCTCCTTGGCGCTGGCGCGGACGGTATGCACCAGGATCTTCAACCCACTGAGATGTCGCGCCAGCTTGAAGATCCGGAAAATCCTCACGATCCGCAGGAAACTCAGAAAGTCGTTCCAGAACTGAAGCGTCTGCTCGCCGTTGATGCGTTCGCCCAGGTCCACGTAGAACGGAATGACTGCCATAATGTCGATAATATTCTCCACGGTGATAAAGAACCGTAGCTTGTTTGGGCAAAACATGAACCGTACCACAAGTTCCACTGTGAAGAACGTGACGCACACGGCCTCGGTGATGAACAGCGATATGTGTGTCTCAACGATCTCTTGTCCGGTGTCGGTATCGTTCACTATCGTTCGAAAGTTTGCCATGGTCTCCAAGCAGAATGTTGTGATAGAAAGAACTACAAACAGGAGCGACATGAAGGCAAATACCTGTAGATTTAGAGCAATAAAAATATAATCGTTAAAAGACAAAGGTTTACGGTAGTAGTATCTTGTGACAAATCTCTTTTGTGTTTTTGTGAGGTTCTGAAAAGAACGGGGAAAACTCAATCTTTCGGACAAACTCGCATCCAGGTTTGTGGTAACTTTATTTAATAGAAAACATCAGTGAGCCATTAAAATTTGTTTCATGCATACTGGAAGATGACATTTGTTAATAGACTAGCCTTAAGTTGTAAACTCCCTTTAAGTTAGACCATGTTGGTTTCAGAGGGCTCGGTAGTCTGTAAATCAATTCTCATTCCAAACTGATACCGACCTTCTAACTCTGTGAATCAATAGTGTCTACTTTCCACGTGGATGGAAACCTTACGGAAATTAAAGTTGTAATCGTTGATAACCAACAGTAAAACCTTAATAGGGTATTCAAACAAACACAGTATACTTTTGACTATGTGCTGGTTATATGTGTATATTCATCTTTTAATATTTTCGTACAGATGACTTCGCGACAGCTGAGTTGTAATTACTCGAGTCAATGACTCACATTTTTGGTGACTCGACTCGACTAGAGTCCCAACGGGTAACTGAATCGACTCAAATCCAGTCACTGAGAGCAAAGGACGCGACTCTACTCGAGTTCCTCATCAGAAGACTCGACTCGACTAGAGGCGAAGGCTAAAAACACTTGAGTCCCAAAACTGTGCGAATTTTTTTTTGCAGTGACTTACGGTACAAAGTTATTAATATATGCACGTTTACTTCGCATTACCGTCGAGTTGTGGCCGCTTCGTGGTTTTATTATGTAGCATACAAACTGGTTGGCCTATCTTGGAACCAGACTTTTCCACATTCTTGGTTTCATCGTCGTCTTCGGGTTATTTCGTAAGCCCTTGATGGAACTCGGGCTAAATGCATGTCCTGCCTTCAAACAAATAACTAGGCATTTCCTACATAATCAGAAACAGTTTTGTATGTTGCAATTTGGTTTTAACGTTATCAGCGTAAACAATTACAAGATGCGACCTAATTATTACCCTTGCTATAGTATTCCTAAAATTCAGCTTCCTATAGGTGATTTGACCCATGGCGCAAAGAGCTGATTGAAACACAAAGTGCTTTCTCTTAACCAATCAACTCCTATAGGCAGATATAAGCAACTAAATAGCAAGAATCTTGTTAAAGAAGGGACTCGCGCAACATCGCAGGTTTTGACACGAACTGACATGACAACATTTAGTTCACTGCAGTAGGCCACAGTACGTTCTCCGTTTACTTAAATACCAATTACCACAGATTAAAGTTGCGTATACCATTTCTTGGATAACCTATGCGCAGTAGTGCCTTTCCGGTGTCTCGTTTTAGCTTGATATGGATTAGTTCCATCATTATTGACGGCACATTGGCAGGTGTTTCGAGTTTAATGGAATGGTTGCCTGGGAATTTGCAGACGGCGAATAGGCTGGATTGGCGCCATTATAGCCTCGTCGTTTTCAGTAGAAAAACTGTATGAACTGGCAAGGAAAACAAAACGAGTGGACCTGAATGCGTGATTTTAAATTTAACCCCCAAAAACTTGAAAGTACGAGCAATAAGTCGTGTTTGATAAGACCATTTTGATACTGCAGTTGTTTACGCATCAATGTGGTTAGTTTGTTTGTTTGTTAGGGGTGTTTGTATGTTTGTTTGTTGTGTTCTTTAGTGTGCTTATGTCTGTCTGTATATTTGTTGTTGTTGTTTTTTCCTTATGTTGACTATGTGTCTTGTTTAATCATTGTACTGTTGTAGTTGGACAGCCTCTCGATAAGTGTGTAGCTTTTTAGGCAATAATGTAGGCCTGCATATGGTACAATTAAATGTTTCTTGTATTTTAGTTTCGTGTATCTTTGCCCTTTGTAGTTTATTCTTTTGCCCATTTCCTTTGTAGTGACTTGTAATTTTATTGTTACGAATTTTAATATTGTATATTTAAATTGCCATGTATATTGATGTTGCCTGAAGTATTATCTAATACAAATCAATACATTCGTGATAGCAACACAACACAAGACTTCAGTTATATAATCTGCGGTATTCGGGGAATACATTTTTATGAAATGCTGAAATTTATCCATACAGTTTGTTGGTTAAAAACAATGGATATCAGGCAAGCTACTCGCCCACAAATTACACAATGGTGTGTAGCACAGCCTGAAAACATCGCACCTCTGCGTTCACCGTGAAAATAAAATGAAAGTGAACTCGTCCTTGACAAAGTAGTGTAACGCCTTATGTTCAACAGCATTCAATACAAAGGCCTCCCGGCTTGGGATAAAAGTACAATAAATTAATCCAACTGTATATCGCTTGCCAGCATCGTGTACTTGCCTCGGAAAAAAAAGCAGCTGCATAACTTCGAAAATGAATAATTCTACGTCCTTTCCCCTCAGAAAAAAAACCTCTTATTTATTCATTGCATTGCGTCGAGTGCTGTGACGGCGAGGAGTTAGTTTGGTACTTGATGTAAAGTTTTAAACAAAATATTCATGTGTAATTTATAATTCGGTTATAATTAGATGAGTACGAGTAAGACGACGCAAAACAATTACGAGTTTTAGTTACAGGTGGTTTTTTTTCATGCAAGTACAACTACGAGAGCGAGTCCATTCTCTTGTATATGAGTCATGCTTCGGGATGCGGGCTTAAAAAACATATTTTTTAAATAGTCAGTCAATTATGGAATATTGTGATGACAACAGCAGAATATTGTGATGATAACAGCTGAACTAAAAGCTTAATGAAGTGTTTTTTTTATTCATTTGGTATTTTCGAGCAACGAGGAGACTGAAAAGTAGTAGGGCCTATACTCTAAACTGTGTTTAGCCATTAAACACAATCTTGCTATCACTTTTAAACATGTTTAGACGCTAAACATTACGTGTTCAATTCCTAAAGACCAATGTTCAATTGCTAAACACTATCCATCCTTACGCTAAACACGTTTAGTATTTAAACATGTTTACAAACTGATAGCAAGAAAGTGTTTAGAAAAGTGTTTACTTGCTAAACACAGTTTGTACAGTGTACATTTGTACCAATAGAAATAACATCGATTAGGCCTATACAGGTCGTATAAAAAAAGTAATCCAAAATCTATCGGCTTATATGTAATATGTAAAAGTTGGGAAATTGTTGACTGTCAAAGTGGTTCAATCTTAAAGGGTAGTTCAATAGCTTCCAATAATTTGATACCATAAATACACCTTTTCAGTCACAGATGACTGAGCACCATTGATTGCAAGACAAAAGCAAAAACCCCTCGTTTTCCAAGTTTGCTGAGTAAGTGGTGAGTTAAGCTGTCGGAAGAATTCGCTTTCACTGTGGACACTGCAGTGCCTTCAAAGGGCGTGTCAGATAATGTTGTTGCATAAAGTTGTACATAAAAATGATTGATCATTCCAGAGATTTTGTTTATCATCACAAAGCCAAACGCCTACATTTTCCCCAAGTTTACCTGATTCAGTGTCAAATTGAGCTGTCCAAAACATTGTGCAGTCGCAGTGGCTTATGTGTTCAGTGTGAGGAGAGAAACAAGTTGAAAGTGTTTGAACACAAAATGGAGTATCATGTTTCATGATTTAATCAATCATTTCAAAGATGTATTTGTTTGCTCATTTAAAACAATAACTTCAAAACTAATTAGCTTGGGCGTTTGCCCAACTTGGCATGGCTTTGGCTATGCCCATTACAAGCTATGTTTTACAGATTTTTGATATGTCATTGCTATATTGTGATGCAAAACAAAATCTTTGGAATGATTAATAATTTATCGACAACATAAGGTACCATTTTAAGCAACAACATCTCCAACCGGGCCCAGATAAGACGTTAGAAACACGTTACCAAAAGTGTAGGCCTATCCTTAACCACACAAAATGGCGATGTCACCGGCAACTTTTTTTGTCCAAACCGAATACGCATGGCCAATTTACACATACGCTACTTTGTCGCGCAACAATTTTATAAATACATTTCATGAGCACATAATGTGTTCAAATTCCGCGACATATAAGTTGTGCGACTTATCACTCATTCATTTGTGCGTATTTATAAAACAAACAAAAATAAATAAAAAAAACCGCCACACTTCGCCAGACAGGGTCGCTTATGTGTGATTGAATATCATTCCGCCCACATTGTGCGTGCGAGCGTAGCAAATACGATGACGCGATCCATCGATTGGACCTTTTCTTCTTGACACTACTGTAGAGAGAAATTGCGCGTTTAACGACGCCTTGCTGAGAAATCAACCTCCGGGCTTTTTATATCGTTCTCAGAAAATTCCCGAAAGAATGCTGCCTGAAAACTGAATTTGTTTGCGATGTTAAGTGAATTTCAGTGCAGTAATCGCTGAATAATATACCAACATTGACCTGAGGCTTATACTTGCTTCCTTTTTAGTTGGTATTTCGCTGAATTACAACAATGTCTTCTGCATGAGTCTAACGGTTTCACACGAAAACCTGAATTGATAATTTGTACATTTCTTTGAAAGGCAATGATTTTGCCATGATACTTTCACCAAATGAAATTAATATCACATGATTTGACTGTCCATATAGGCCTACGTTTCTATAAATCGGGCGGAGTTATCTTGCATTGACCAAAAGTTCATGTTCCTTATGGTGATTGGCACAAGCGCCCTGTAAGCGCAGAATCGCACTCAGAAGATAGTAAAGATAGTTTGGGTTTGATTTCTGTGTTGGCGTGTTATCAGTTGACTCTAGATCGCTTTTGACAAAAGAAGTATATGTTGACTGGTTCGACTGAGGTACGAAACATTTCAGACAATGATGACATTTACGTGATGTTCATTTCGCAATGTGTGGTTCTGCAAAATGGATGTTTTTGAAAAAAATAAAGATTATTATAAAACTGAAACTCAATTTTAAATATGTGGTTCATATAATTTCAAATCAAACAGCTGAAATAAGCGACACATTTATTTTGCGCCACCCACGATATTTGTCTATGCATTTTTGAAATTAATTCAATATTTTTTGTGCATGTTATCTAAACTGGATTTTGTTTGCGCCATATTAAACGAACCGCCATACATCTGCCTTGCAATTTTGGTCTGTTCCTATATGCGCTTGTTTGTCGGTGTGAATATCGTATTCAGTAAACAAAGCACGTTTGTATTGATTTCTGTATTGCTATTTATCTATACTCCAGTCCAAACATATTGAAGAATAATAACCTCCGTTCCGAGAGACGGGGAATGTCGGTAAACACTGGAAAATTAAAAGGGTCCAGATGCGTCAGGTTTAACTTATATCACATAGGCCTACGCGATACCAACTCATACAATAGGCCTTACAACGTAAACAGCTTTTGTTCCTTTTCTTCCTTACAAAGTATAGCACGTGCTTATAATTGTTTGGTTTGGAATATGCGTTAATTAATAGTATAACCCACTTACATTAATATGAGGTATGCAAACCAAACATACATACAAACAATAGGAATTTGTACAGAGGTGGACATTGCAACCTAAGGAATTTCGAACTTGGGTTTGTCTCAATGGCCGCTATATGTTTATTAAGAAGAAAAGCTAATTAATATAGCATACATTTCCGCTGTGGTGTTATCGTATCATTAATTGGTATTGCGGAATATAATTCTATAAACAATGTATCAAAACTATTTTAAGACACCTTATTTGAGGATGTCATTACAGTTGTGTGAATTGTGTGAGATGAGGAGCAGAATCGAGATGGCCAATTTGATGGAAGAAAACCATTTTCGCGAGAAATCCCCCGCGACATATTTCATTCGTTCATCCTTGATGAATAAGAGTTCATAATAAAACCATAAAATATATCTGGCGCGGTGGTATACAAAGTGAATTCCACGCGCCGTTTATTCACGGGTTGATTACATTCAGACACTGAAAATATGATTTGTTAGAAAAGATAACACAAATGATAGGGAAATGAACACACAAAAATGGCATTTTAAAACTGCCTTACTAGGAGTGTGGAAAATAGGTGAAATTATTTGTAATTTCTTCTCATTGTCTTTTTCTGACCGGTTTCTTCTGGCTTTGGAGCTACAGTGCCTAGGGCACTTTTGAGGAATCCTTGGTTCAATTACCAGAAAGATATAAAAAATAATAAATAATAATAACAACAACAATAATACCCAATTTGTAATCAAAGATGAACTAAAATGTTGTCGTCACAGTTGGCCTACGAAGTGGCTTAGAAATTTAAGCTTTGCATTTCCTGAAGCGGAATGCGTGTATTGTTTGGCCCTGTTTGCTGTTGTGTACTTTTTATATACGGAGTACAAAACCAGTCCTGCAAGAATTGAAACAAATTAAATAATGCATAGGATATTAAAAACTTATGCTATGTGCGCGGGCGGCCCGGCGGCCTTAGCGCGTGGGAAAGCAACATACGACCGGGCAGAAATGTTTGAACAACGGCCGCTCAATAGCCCCTTGCTTCACTCTCGAGTCCCAAGTCCATTACAACTCGTAATTCGCGTGTTTTGCTCGCTTCGGCAGGACTGTCGCTATGTGAACCCCGTAGCATGCAGTGGATGCAACAAAATGCGAACATTTTTTTTTTGCAAGGTTGTTGAGTGGGAATTGTTTTTCGGTTGTTATGATGCAGTGGGACGCATTATGGTTAGTTGGAAAGCAAACAATATTAAACCAAGGCAACATTAGTTGAGTATTGAAATAATGATGATCAACTCGTATACGAAATTCAACCGCATAAAGAAAATGTTAATGAGGAGTAAATTCTTGGAAACCAAGGTGCGGCAATCAATTATTTCTTTCTTTCTTTGTTTCTTTATTTTCTTTCTAATGAAACCAAGGATTCCTCAAAAGCGCAGGCAATGTAGCTCAAAAGTCTGAAGAAATCGGTAGAGAAAAGTCAATGAGAAGAAATTACAGTTTTAGACGTGGGAAAAACCCCCAGAAGTATGTTTTGGGGAAAACCCACGGAATCAGGTATAGACTGAAAACTCAGTCCACATGTGGACCAGGACTGGAACCGAACCCGGGCCACAGCGCGCTGCAGCAGTGGAAGGCGAGGACAGTACTGCACCCACCTGACTCCCCAATTCAATTCACTTATCAATTCACCCGTCCAAGCTAAAAGTATGGACATTTTTCTACCCCCAAAAAAGTGATCATCAGTTTTATTTAAAGGTTTTATACTAATTTTAGAAGCACAGTGTATTCGCCATCAAATTGTTCGGTATCATTTTAACTGTCCCCGGGAAACTACAAGCAAACTGGGAGTGGGGCCCACTTTTAGCCACTAAATGAGTCTAAAGCCACGTAGGATCACTGAAGCCACTGGAAAATTACAGCAACGAACAACAACAAAGAAAACAACATTAAAAAGAAACCCAATAACTATCCCCAAATGTCGCCTTTTCAAACACCCTCCCAGGAATTATTTATGACTTTGAAACACATACCGAAATTTCCCTGAATTTTTTTTTCCAGATTCGTTGATTGTTTTTTTTTATTTTAAATTTTAATTATGCCAAATTCTCCGACCTTTCCAACAGCATAATTTTACAACACAATTCCAGCACTCTACATCGATCTATAACTACGCAGGAAAAATCATCTGTCCTTTTAGGTTGGCATATTCGGCCTTTAGATACGAAATTAACTGTGCTTCTCTGTTACTCATGGATTTGAACAAAAATATGTTGTGAACAGAGATAACCCAAAACACAAATAAAAACGAGTTTTACAGACGGGTATAAGAATAAACCGGTTTTCAGTTCAGCCCGACAAAGCTGGTATGTGAAGAGTTTAAACAGCTGTTCAGAATAGTTCCCTCGTTGGAGAAATATTCCAGATGGTTATGGTTTTGAAATTGAAAATAATTTTAATCTATAAACTAATTAGGGCAATCGAGTACTGAAAAGACATTGAGAGAGAGACAAAAAAGAGGGAAACGATTTCTGTTCTCTACAGTTGAATCTCCAGTTATAGCATATTTAAAATATAACTGCTCAATGCGAAGTTGCATGACATCGTTGTTAACTGATGTCCAACAATTAGTGTACAAGATATTCGGAGATATCAACTGGCGTAAACATTTGCCTAAACGTGTGTTACAACACGCGTTTAGCCTCAATCCGCGCAAACGTTCCCAACCTTCGCGATCTTTTTGTGCACATTTGGAAATCGTTTGCCAACGTTGGCAAACGTTTGCATTGTCTGCGTTAAGCGGAACGCATCCCGGGTTTGCAAACTTTGCATTGTAGCAATTCTATCACAATTCAGGTCAAAAGTGCATCACAAGTCCTTTCACAAGTTCAGATAACGCTTAAAGCAAAAGTGGATGAACAATTACTTTAAGTTTATTTGAACAGTTTGTGATTTGACTTGAGACTAGAGGACTTGTGATGAACTAAACATCAACTTTTTTGGCAGTTTTCTTTTCTGTGTCTCATGTCTGTATGTTAACTGAAGGTACTTGACGAATGATGGCCGGGACGGGATGTACGGGGCTTTCTTTAAAGATGGCGGCATCAGTGTAACGAATTATACCTTACCTTAGCCGCCCGAGACGAGTAGGGCTCGTCTAGCATCGCCCATATACGTGGTTGGTATCTCCGGTACCAGGTTTTCTTGGACGTCTCGTATTCCTCCTCGATTCCAAAGATTCTGGCCACATCTTCCTCTTCTTCGCTGTCGCTCTTCTCAAAGTTTGGTCCGTTCAACTTAGCTAGCGTCTCCTGCGCGTCTCGGTGCTCGGTGTGGTACGACCAGCAGCAGGCCTCGATCTGCTTCTCGTCGATGCCCCAGAATTGGAGTTCCTCCTCGAAGGCCGGGCCGCAGACATCCCGCGGCGCGTGCAGCTTCCCGATGCGGTAGTAGTTGAGCACGGCGTCGAACATCCGCGGGTGCCTGTCGAAGAAAAACTCCCCGGTCACTGGGTCGTAGTCCGTACTGTTTGTAGCCGTGGACTGGGCCAGCCAGGCAAGCCTGGTGTCCGGTATGTTTTTGAGGGTGGACTTGTACGTCTCGTGTCTGACACCACCGACATTGATGCGGACTTTGTTGTCCTGACTGGTGGGACCATTTGGCCGGAGTGACGGGTGGGCACTGGTCAATCTCTCGTTCCCTTCCCCTTCCGTGTCCACCTCGGGTTCTCCCTTCACCCGTTCCATTGAAATACTCATGCGCGGCAACATGGCTCTTTCTTCAAAAGCAAAACAATCTCCGCAATAAGCTAAACCAATCACCAAAATATTTCCCCCGACTTCTCAAAATAACCTTACAGGCATTTCTTCCGCGCGACCCCTTTTTTTTTTTGGTTCAGACTGGCAGAATTGTCAATGAGAAAATGTTATCTCCGTCTGTTAACAGAAAGTATCAACGGTAGGCTTCCAGGCGTGGGCCCCTATCTGACCAATAGTTGGCATTCCGACGACGGGAAAAATCCAAGCATACAAAATGATACGTTCATAACTGAGTTATCTTCTTCACTCGCTTGAAGTTGGTGTGTTGATCCAGGAAAGCGATCCTACATCTTGTCTGATGACACTACGTTACGATAGCAACATGACCCAATACAAATCAATTCCCACTATACATCACGCGCTCTACCACTCCTCTAACAACTTGCCCGCCGTAGGCTTGGTGGTGATAAACTGGCTCGCTTGGAAACAAAAAATGCTTCAAAGTTCAGTATAAGTATTCTGAACCAAAACCATCTGCAACCGTCACACTAGTATCTACATGTATATAACAAGGCTTTGTTGTGGTTACGCGAAATAAATAATTACATCGAATACAATTTCAAGAACTGGTCTGTTTTTTTTTTCGAGTCGCCGATCGTAGCGTGCCGTTGCAAAATATTATGTCGTCACTGAAAAGTGAGCGAAGCCCCAAACACGTTCGGCCAATGGGGAGTGGGGCGCATGCGCAGAGTCAACACACCTGTCCTACAAGAACAGGTGCATAGCATTGATTTTGTAGACGAGGTGGGGACTAGCGATCAATTGTAATGCAAATGAGTCTAGATTGTAATTACTATGTGGCTTTTTGGCTTTCACTTTTAGACGCGTTAATGTTTGGAATTAGACACGCTCCTATGGGTATATGAAGGTCCCTATAATTATGTGCATTTTCAACAACCTCTAACAATAAAAATGACAGTAAATGCACTTTCACTATAACATTTGTGCGGTTTGATTTGTTTTGTTTTTTTCAGTTGCATTTTTTTTCTCCATAGATACATATGAATAAAGTAAAGTACATGTAGTCACAAATAAAGTAGTCATGTGATGTTATTTTGAAGCAGTTTGGTACTTCGATTACTCAGTACCTTGAAACCCAATTTACCCACGATATCATAGTCTGACGTACGATGGTGATGACGACACGCAAAACTGTTTCACTATTGTTGGTTGATTTGAAATTCATAACTTAGACGGAATAGCTGTTGCAAAAATTGGTTAGGCCTACAGCATTTGTTAAAGTGACCAAAAGTGTATAGATGCGAATGAATAATGCACTTCATGTACCATAATATAGAACGTCACATCAACAAACACGATGGGGTCGTTATAGTGGTCGTTCGTTATAGTGGTCGTTCGTTATAGTGATTGTTCGTTATAGTGATTGTGCATTATAATGGAATTTAACCCTCACGATCCCCATCCAGGCAAACTCTAACACAAGGGTTTGATGGAGTCCAACTGTTTATGTTTACATGCAGTTTAATACCGTATGGTGTTGGAATCTGTTTGCAAGGTTGAAGAAGGTTCCTCGTTAGGGTTACTATTTCGGGAGCCAGAGGGGGTGATCGTTATATCGTAAAAAGCGATGTTCGTTGTAGCGATATTTTTTCACATGACCCATTCCAATTAGCTATGGTGAAACATGACAAAATACTGCTGGTTCACATGACCCATTCCAATTAGCTATGGTGAAACATGACAAAATACTGCTGGAGGACTATCACATCATGAGAAATATTTACAACATAAAAGAGCCACTTAGGATCATTTGCAAATTACCCTGCAGTACCTACAAAACGAATTAGATCAGAGCATACCGCAAACCTTAACTAGTTTATTTCCATTGCGTGCATTTTCAACGGGATCCAGTTACAATGTTCGCTATAACGATGTTCGTTATTATAGCGGCGTTTTATATTACGAGACTCAAAAGTTCTGCATTTTTTTTTCAATATGTACTAGTATAAATGTAGTAGCCACTGTTATTGCCCCCCCCCCAAAAAAAACACCACACACCAACAAACAGAACCCCAATGTACAAGCACTTAACACCTCCCATCACTACAGAAGAAAAAGTTGCATCATATGTGACGTCACTTAGTACAAAATATCACCCAAAAAAAGCCACACATGACAACAAATTGTCTTTATAGTTGCACAACTGTTTTTTTATTATTATTATTTTCTTTATACTACATTTTACTGTCAAAAAGGGTAGATACGTATACAGGTATCCTCGCTATACAAAATAATACAGATTATTAAAGAATAGCCATGCAACTGACCAACACAGGTCAACAGAGGGCGTGCATTTACAAAGCATTAAAAGGTGGTAAACGGAGCACCAATAAATTAGGGAAACAAACTAAACAGAAACCTATAAGACAAAAACCCGTCGACTTGAAAACTATCCTGATAGAAATTGCTATAACCAAAATATCAATTTTTCACTCCATGGTGTGTTATCACTATTCATTGAGTATTTGGATGACAAGGTCTGGCTTTTGCCACAAGTCCGATTCTACAAACACAAGTCATGCAGGTAAACTTGCTTTCACTGCGCGTGTCATAGGTCACCGAACCTTCAGTCAGCCCTCCTTTAACGGATCTGGTTCTGGTTCGACGACAATTTTCGAAATTTCTTATTTTTAAACAAATTTATAAAATACAAAAAAAAATATCTGTATACGTCAATTTTCAATGACGCAAGTTTGCATCATTTAACATTTATTGGTCACAATTCGGGCAGTTTATTATACACACATTAACTCCCATATTTTTTTGCGATCTATCTGACAGATATTACGCACTGAAAGGGTGGTATCAGAGATTGCAATTTTAATATTAAAAAAAATGAAAAAATCCAGGACTAAAACTAAAAAAGGATTTAATGTTCATCCCTTTAACTATCTGGATGGAAGCATCGATTCACAACGAAGGGGTGTTCGTATGATCAATAGAGGGACGATTATACTAAGCACCACATCACATACAAGGAAGCCCTACAACAATTAATTATCAAAAGATCAATTGTTCCACATAAACATGAAGTCCTGACGTCATGTGTCAAAGCCGTGACGTCATTTTTTGAATATCTGCGCAACGACCAAGAAAATGTAAGCAGACCTCTTGGAAGTTACCATTAAATATGGATTTGTTTTGAATGTCTTCAAACAATTTGCAACTTGACCGACTACAAGACGGCGGCGTTAGTAAATTAAAGACGTGACATTTTAAAAGGATTGCGTATTTATGCTTTATGAAAGCGGCTTTCAAGTTCAACAACTGAAGGTTTTAACTGTGGAAGTTATCTATAACTGCATCATGCAACATTTTCAACCATGTTGCATCTACCAGTCATCACTCACGGAAGATGAGTGCAAAGTCTGTTTTTTAATACATCGATCGTCGATGGCTTTGAATACATTTTGACTGTAGCGTTTTGATTTTGGCACTGCTCTGAATTGAATCACAACTACAACTAACACTGTACACTGTCAATGATACATGAATTAGTCTATGTAGTTACACTTAGTTTACACATACACAATATACAGCAATTGAACCACAACGGCACGTGGTCTAAGTAAGGTCCTCACATAATGTTCATAAACTATATTACACAATTAATTTTGAACAAGTCAAATGACACGAACTTCGCCTCAAAAAAGGTGGTAAATGTTTCTATAAAAAATAAAAACCACGGATCCATTAATTCATAATAAATTTCAGATAAATTTTACAGAGACAACGTTTACAGGACATTCATAAAATTGACAAAAACGTTTAATAATACAATAGTAGTTATGTCCATATATTTCAGTTTTCAACAACCACGTCATGATATCATAGTAAATCTACACAAGTTTTGCACCCGATTTCTTACAGCTATTGAATATTCATGAAACGCACACCTAAACTACGACGTCACAACTACTGAATATTCAACAGTTCCGTACAACACGAATGACTAGCATCACACGACCAAGTTTAATTCTGTTGTTATATATAAAAGGAAGATATTTAAATGTGTTTATTATTTAATACGCTGTTGATCTACACATTGAATACCTGGCACAACTATTTTAGTTCACATTTTCCAATTTCACATGTGCAGGGTTACTCATACCCTGAGATAACAAAGAAGGGGGAAATGTATTGCGACTCCTTAAAAACGATACGAAATACAAAGGTCTTGATTCAATTAAATGTTTCAATGTCTGTCCACAATACGAAGTTACACGTCCTATGAGTCAAGTGACGTTTTCGCCAGCACTTATTTCAATCACCACTGAACATGAAACTTTAGTTTGGCAATCCAAATAAACAATAGAAACGGTTCGACAAGACCCCTAATAAGACAACTACATGTATGTGCAGATATCCCTTCGCAATGCGTTGAATCTGCATGGCGATGACAGGACATGAACTGGTTGATTTGCATAATGAATACGCCAAACACATTCAGACATCAGGAACTGGAATATGCTTCATGAATATGCAACGTATTCTCATTCCCATTGTCTGATAATCCATTCGCAATTGCGTGACACCTGCGTTACGACAATACACGTATAAACATGCAACATACTACACACTCAAGTATTGCATAAAGAACACAGAAAGGTCATCCAGGGTCACTGTCGTCCCATTCCTCATCAATTGGTAGTTGGTTCTTTGCAAAATTCAAATTAAGTTATTCACTAAAGATTACTAGATGTAATTCGCACTAACAAAAGGTATCTCTAATCTTTGTCTGCATGTTCACTCTTTTCTGAAGTATGATTTCTAAAGAGCGAGAAACAGTAGATTATAGTAAAACATATTTGTGCAGTCAACTGGCTCACGTAAATTGACATGGCGACTTTTCGTCTATTGTTGGCAGCAGACATATTTTCGTCAGCTGAAATAATGATACGAACGAATACACATGGACTATTGATATCCCATATCAATGTACCAAAAATCGTAGCCGCAACCAAAGCGGACCCCAATCTGAACAAGTATGGGTACTTAATTGGCTTACAAAGTATCCAAGTTCGTCAGTTCCAGCAGCTTGGCTTCAGTTTCGTGTAACAAGTTTCTGAGTTTTGTGACAGTACCTCGAAGACCGAGATTTGCAATTATTATGAAGCCTACCAAGCGGACATTTCTCCCCCCCCCCCTAACTCTACCAAAAGTAGCTGTGTTTTCAGTTTGCAGTTTGTCGAGTTCAAACATTTATGAATACAATATGCCTACGTGATTGTGTTTATAACATTTTCTTGCGTATTCAGATTTAGTCAACACTACTTATTTAGGACTACAGTTGTAAAGGTGTTGGGCTGTTTAAAAAGAAAATAATTTTTTTACACCCAAGGCTGAGCACTTGTTTGAAATAGCAAACAAATTGAACGGACCAAAAGATTTGCATTCATGTAGATATATTAAATGTTTACATTGTCTCCTGATACATTTGTACCCCTAAATGACATTTCTTTGATACTTCTTATTAGGCCGTCGATAGAGGGCGGTACATGAATTTACCACCGGCCTTTATCATGTTGCAGTGAGGTATAAATGGTTAATCAGGTTTTGAATTTCTTTGTATTCTGTTGACCGATGCAATTTAAATTCACATCTTCTTTATTTCCTAGCCAGCAACTTTCCAGAAGTATCTGTACAGAAGGTGGGACAACCAACCAAAGATAGACAATTGTGGACAAAAGCTGGGAAATTTGGCAGGTGCTCATAAGTGCACCTGATGAGGGCTAAATGTATTGACAGGGAAAACATTCATAGAGCAGCAATAAAGCAAACATTGCCTAGCAAATTATGTGCTAAGTATGAGCAGGCCTCACTGTGAACCTCTTGGTTACACACCTATGTTCCGACACACCTGTGTTCTGACACCCTTTGTTCCACCTGCTCATGTTCTTAACTCTAACCCTTAACGGACTAACACAAACTTATGTGCGGGTTGTCGGAACATAGAGCAGTCACCACCCTCTTCATCGATATAGGTTTTTTAATAGGTTTTGAAAGTCAAATCCTATGTTTTTTTAAAGGACTTCCATCCCTGCACATTTTAATTTGTATCGCACAAAGTCCTGAACCCAGTACAAGCCACCATATGTTAATTCTTTGACCTCAACAAAGAACTCAAATCTGACTACGTATGATATCAAAGGAAAATCCTGGTTACCTAACTGAAATGATTTGGAGACTGACGGGCATTTGAAGATTCGAAGTTAAAAGTCCACCTCATCATCACTTATTGTGGCCAGTAGTGAGCCATCAAATGATGCATGTTGATTATATGGTCCAATTGGAGTTCCAGCTTACATGTATGGCCATATCAAGCTCCAAACTTGTCCACGTGTCTTTGAATTGTCCAACATTTCGGAGTTTTCAGTGGCCACTTGATGATGGTCACTAAAAGCTCAGAGGCCATGAGTCACAGTTGGCTAATAGATGGTAAGCCCAACTGTTTGATGTTTATGGCCAATCAGCTTTTTTTTTGCAACTTTGGCTCGTATATTACACTTTGAACAATTATCTACAATCTGAAGTGGCTGGCCACCTTTTACTTACATTCCACAACGTCCACTGTTTTTGCCCATATGCGACTTTCACCTGTGTGTTAAGTTTACGCGAATGAGGTATGAGCGACTATGCACAAGTAACGCTTTAAGTTTATATATCTATCTCTATGTAAAATACATATGTACACACTTGCTACACAAGAACATCGTTGCACCATCTGACATGTACATCAAAGTCACTACACCTTTTCACTCAAGGTACTCAAAATGCAACACATTTACTTTTTTTTTTTTTTTTTAAATGTGTGAGTCGTGTTGTATCAAATCTGCTCATTTCACTTTCCTTCGGCGTAACGTTGAACTCATCACTGACTTTTAAACAGTTATACTTCTGACCCATAGCAAACACACAGTATTTTTTTTCAACATTCATGCAGAATTTACATTTTTCTGTTATTAAAATCAGCAGGTTTTAACACAACATACTTACTCTTTTTTTTTTAATGTTATATGTATATATACAATCCTGCAATGTTTGATCGAACAGTTAGCACATATCAAAAATCAATTATTCACATATAAAATATGTGAATTTGTCCAAAATAAAAGAGAAATACAATGGAAACTTACAAGCACATTAGTTGGAGGTTCAAATTCTTGGATTTTTCAAATTCTCAAAAGTATGCTATCTCTAACCAAAGGACACTTAGTTGTTTTCCCTTGGGTTGAGCTCTGAAAAATAATTCTCCAGACCCAAGGTCGGTCACAAAGTGGTAATATAATGGATAGATGTGACACTGACCCAATTTCCTTTTTTTTCAGTTATAGTGCAACACTGTCATGAACAATGACATAAAAGAAGACAAAAAAATTCAGCTGCTTTTTTAACAAATTTTTTACTGTAGACCCCTAGCAGTATATGTATCATGCATTTTTAATAAATACATTTGCGTATGTGTGTATATAAAGGTAAATCATATTGCGTAAGTATTCAACGAATACATGTATGTTGAGGTAGGTTATGAATGTAACCTGGTTTCGAAAGTTCTTCATGTTTAAGATTAGTGCAGAGAATTATATACTCCATTGGTTCAGTTGATCGTATGTCTTAATTTTGCATTTTCTTTCAGGTTCAGAGGAGATAGCAGCGAGCCTATTCAGCCAGTGAGTGATGCGAACCTGGTGAAATGTGTTAACACCAATACATCTCTCGACACAACATTATACAACAGTTTTTGTGGTGAATTGTTGCATTGAAATGCTCTGTCATTATTACTATGACACTGCAACATAATGTGGTCACCACATATTACCCCCTAGTTCCATGCACAGGTTACGTATCTGCTCAATGATTACAAAGAGAGAGTTAAGGCAAGCTCTTAAACACATTGCCATGGTTCGTCTGGTGCTTGCGCAAAGACGATACTGTTTGGTGCACGTCTACATGAAAATGAATTCTGCATAATTTGTGCAGCACACTCAAACCAGTGCATGTAAGTGTGTATTTGCCTGCAATCGGGGAACCCCTATTGTCCCTCTTTGGTTTGTACTCCAACTTTTTAAGAAGACCTCCCATATGTTTTGTACATGATTGTAAATTGGGGACCTTCGGGAATCAGGGACTCTATTGTCCTCTATTGTTCAACGTCCCCTATTGAAAGCAGAAACAAACTCGCACACACTACCTGTGTCTGACACACATAGCTCTCATGATTGGTCAAAACGAGCCATCAGCATCGTGCACGGAGTCTTTAAGTAGACTGATACAGAAAGCCGCGCCCACTGCGCACATGGGCAATAAACACGTGCTCCTCTCCAAAGCCACACTGCATGTTTCAGCCGTGCGCATATTACGCGCGTGCATGCATGTTGTGCTTTTGTGCACGCATGTCGGACATAAATCACGGCTGTGATTGGTCAGAACACCATGCGGCGGGGCTTACTGGATCGGTCCATTGGAATAATGTGCTACCATGCCTTTGCCTTTAAGCTCTTGTACAAGGTTAGCAGAGTGAGTGTGGAAAACCCAAAATAAAATAAAAATAGTGTAGCATTTGGGAGTATTGAATAAGTAACAGCCAGCTTACTTTAGAAAGCGCAGGTACAGGCATCTACAAAAGCAGAAGCTATCTTCAGTTGCTGGGCAGCGATGCCCAGCACTGGTGTCTGTCAGCTTATGTACAAGTAACAAACCAATTCTTTCATTTGAATACTATTTCCTCTGGCTTTTCTCAAGTCATCAAAGGAAAGTATCCTCAGATTAGTAACATACTGGCAGTGAATCAGACAAAAAAAGTGTGATAACCACACAAAACTTGGAACTTCATGATGATTCTATGACCTGAAGTGGTCAGTGTCTGTCTGGTTTTACAGCAGTTAGGATAAGAGGAGTCTGGATACTCGACCTGTATTTGTTGGTTGTCTACACAATTCTTAAGACCAGGACATTTCAGTTTCTCTTTGAATATGCTGTCATAATAAGGGCAATTAACTATTTCAAGATGTCTAAAAAATGAAAATTTTCACTACGGCACCATAAACAATCTCTTTGGAGTTCATAACAATTCTAAACAGAATCAGTCACCCTGAAACAGCATCGGTGGTCTAACTTGATTGCTTTGATCCAATGTAAATCTTGTTTACATCTACCCGATCAAAACAACTACAAAGGAGTCTACCTAAAAGGCTAAAATACAAACTAAACCCTGATTTAAAAAATACAAGAACGGTTGTCAACTCAGTACTCTGTGGGTGACTCTAGTGACATCGGTGAGGAGACTTGGCCCAGGGAGTAAGCCCCTTCGACCATGGACAGCCCCTGGGGCGACATGGGACCAATGTTGGGTGCCCGGACCATATGCTCACCATCCCTTGTGTAGAAGACGTGCCGTACCTCTTGGCGCTTGGCTCGCATCAGGGCCTTGTACTCGCCGATCTTCAACTTCTTCCCGTCGATGATGCAGGTGCGCTTGGGGCGGGGCTTGTACTTGTAGTCCGGGTATTTCTCCAGGTGGGCTTTGCTGAGGCGCGCCTGCTCTTCGTAGTAGGGCTGCTTCTCTGCGTTTGACATTGTCTTCCATTTGGAACCTTTTTTTCAGGGTAGGGACAAAAAAAGAAGAAGGAAAATAAAAGAGATGAGCGACACCTGTTCTGAGAAACCATGTGAAGATTTTATGCCTTGTTTTCATTACCCTTTAACATTAGGGAACATTAGAAATGGTGTGTGTATGGGATATGTATGCAGCTTTGAAAATAAGCTGATTTTGTCATTATTTTGTTAAGTTTATTCACCAGAACCCACATATCTACGGTACATACAACATTTTGATGAAAGACACTAATTTCCCACGGTTTGCAAAATGACTCCACAATGCAAGTTGGTGGTTTTAAAACAAATTTAGTCAAGCTGCATGATCTGTTATAATAACCAATCAGCACCTGTATTTAATTGTATTTACATTGTGTTTATTCACTGAAAAATCAATAAAACTATAGAGTGCTGGGGCGGTTTCGGGGGTGACTGCTCTATGTTCCGACACCCCTATGTTCCGACAACCTAGATTGTGTTACTCCCGGTTAGGGTTAGGGTTAGGGTTAGGGTTAGGAATAGGAATATGTGCAGTCGGAACATAGGGGTGTCGGAACATAGAGGTGTAACCATTTCGGGCACTACAGTGAGTATTAGCCAGGGCAGTTTCAGGCAATACAGTTACTTAAGGGTTTGAGAGTAATATGGCATATACACGTATATATATTTTTTTTCGGGGGAGGCATGGTGCCAACTCCCCCCCCCCCCCCACACTTTTTTATTCTGATGGCCGGCTGACTGGAAAAAAAAAATATGATGAACAGTCAGAAAATGTCCCATGTCCAACCGTGGTTTCACCTTGGCGCCCTCTACTGTTATGCACAGAGCTAATACATGTACATACCAAGTATCTTGCTGATGTTGGAGTTGTGCATGTCTGGATGCCTAGCCAGTATCTTCCTCCTTTCCTCCTTGGCCCACACCATGAATGCGTTCATTGGCCGCTTAATGTGCGGCCGGTTGGCGTCCAACTTCCGCGTGTCACGGTACATGCGTGCAATCGTTGCTGAAATGAGAAAAAGATGGTTTGATTTTTAGTCGAGGATAACCTTTTTTGTCCCATCATAGCATTAACTTGCGCAGAGTGACCTGTTGCCCTTTGGGCCCCAGGTAACCAAATTTTTTGAAAAAATAAAAAAACTGAGGGCCAATAATGGTCACCTTCCATCTAATCCTCATTCGACCCTTGCCAAATAAGCTGGTTTGATGAACTTTGCAGCCAGGGCTTCACCCAGGCCGTGTCAACAAACTTTCGACCAGGCCTCCTGCCAAGTCTCATTGAAACATCAACAAAGACCTGTAACTTGACACAGCCATCTCCCTTCATAACTGCATACAACTGTATACCACAGCCGCCAGTCAATTATCTTTCCAGAGCACTGTCTGGCAACTGTCTGGACACTGTCTGGCACGTGGTTGTTTGTTGTAGTGCTATGAATAGGGTCTTGCCTAGTGTGGGAAAGTACCTGCTGCCCAGAGGACAGCAGTTGACGAGTTGTTGTAAAGTTTTTTTGTAAACGCTGCGCAGGGTTAATACCCAGAATTATTATCTAGTCAATCACAAGTCAGGTACAAGACAGGACAGAGGTAAAACTACAATGACAAGGGAATTTTTTCGTCACAGTTCATTGAATAGCTTGCCAATGGAATCAAGTCACCTGGGGCAAGGGCAGATCCAGAACACAATTTTTGGGGGGCCAAAAAAAATTGTGGTCCCCCCAAAAAGTGGGTCAAAAAAATTACGGCGTGGGGTTCCGTGCCCGCTTAAGGGCCCCGAAAAATTGTTGGATTCTAGATGCTCTGTGGTGCGATCTGAGGCAATTTCTGACCACTTTAACCAATGTTTTTTTGAGGAAAAGATGGTGGTGTACTCATTGCCTGCCTTTATTGCGATGTCACATAAAAAAAAAAAAAATTGGTTTCGTTTTTTTTTTGGGGGGGGGGGCATGGCCCCCTTTGCCCCCCCCCCCCTGGATCCGCCCTTGACCTGGGGCACGATGATGTCACACTTTTTGTTTACATGAGCTTGGTGGATCTTGTCCCCGCATGACACCCAGTTGAAAGTGGATGGTTTGTGATCGACTTGCGCTGCCTTGATTACATACATGTACAACTCTGCTTAAAGGGCCCATATAATGTAATTTTTGAAGGTAATTCTTGAAAATGCAACCTTTATTTGTTTCCCCATTTAACACTACATGTACTTTCAATTTTCATTTTGCCATTTTCAAGAGTATTTTGGTGCCTTTTTGGTGTTTATTCTAATGCAAATTTCCATTTTCATGAGCAAAACTGTGATGTCCTTTCAGGCAGAAAACTCAATCTTACAGCTACCGGTAGTTCTGCACCAAAATTTGCCCGAATTTGAACAATTTGCTCTTGTGGATTTCCTTTTCTTCGGTGATTCGTTGATCCGTACATAGCAGTAAGCCAACGAACAAACAGTTCTCACCATTTTTTTCAATGAACAAATTTTTGGGTTTACAATTTTAACAAAAACCCATAAGCTAAACAGTGTCTTCCTGAAATGATATCACAGCAACATGGCCCTCAGTGGTCCAAGAAGCATGGAAAGTTATTAATTTCTAAAACAGTGCACTTGTCAATAAAAAAAAAACCACAAGGGATGCCAAACAGTTTTTTTTTATACATTTAAGAGGAGTAGAAAGTTGCACAAAACATGTTCCTATTAAAGAAACATTCATTGCATAGGCCCCTTTAAACTGTAAATTTATACATGTACAGTACAGGCATGCATGGTTAGTAAAACTTAATAATGTAAATGTACTTAGGGTACAAAAAGATAACTCATTAAATATGCAACAAGTTTATCTGTAAAGGCTTATTGTACCAGGTATCACTCGTGGTATTCTGAGCAATTTCGGTAGAATCATCTCGTAATTAATATAAATGTGAGTATCTGTTTGTAGAATAAACCAACTCTTGTGAAAATTCATTGTGAGTTGCCTGTACCATTGTATGTGTCTAGCGCCCTCTATCACCACCATACACAACCAAGTATGATTTATAAAAAAAAAGGAAATTCTGGGACTGTTTATATCTTTGCCAGTACCCCCTCTGTTGATGATTTTGGGAATTTGATTTTAACTCAGCAGCTGTAGATTATGAGTGCCCTCTTTAGTCGCATCAGCTCAAAGATATCAATCCCAAAAGATACTGGTAGTCTGGGTCTGGGGGTTTCTTTCACAATTTGGTGTTGTTCTGCTAATCCTAGAACATGTACTACATGTAGTTAAGTTTGTAGGAAGAAAGTCCTTTACATTTCACTGACCAAAAATTTCATCCAGGGTTTAAAGATGAACTATCCGTGCTCTTCAAAAAATTTGGTGTTTTTTTCCCCCCTATTCTGACACATTTTCAACTTGTACAGGATGGTAAAAAAAAAAAACTTTACACCTTTTCAGATGCAGATTTCTCAGAATTGGGGAGACGTGATGCAATTGTTTTAAGATATTCCTAAACAACAGTATCTTTGTGGTAAATATATACAAAAAACGGTGCTGAGAAAAAAAAGCCTAAATTTAAAAATGGAGATGGTTTAAAGAAAGATGGTCAAAAGCCAGTTTGTCAACACGCAAGTTCATGGGTTCGGATATGGTCAATAAAATGGCACTGCATGCACATAGAACTGCAATAATGTAAATAGGTTTACATGACTGCCATAGACTTGGAGAAATATAGTGTTTGACCATTTTGCTGTAAAAGGCCACTATTTTTTAACTTGAACTTTATTTTCAATGTCGTATTCACCATATACCACCAAGATCTTTTAGTTTAGAAATATCTTTAAATGAATTTAACATGTCTCCCCAATTTTGAAAAAATCTGCCTCTGAAAAAGTGTAAACTTTTTTAGACTACCCTGTATGTCTTATTTAAATGAAAAAAAAATCTTTTTATCTGTTTTGGGCATCTGCAACCCTCTGAAACAAGGCTTTGACTTGGGGTTAATTATTTTTTTTAACAAAAATATTTGCCCAGGGAGCAGATTGGTTCCTGGTCCCTACATTATCGTTTCTGATTAGACAAAAAAGGGGGGCAGGAACAAGACTACCCAGCGAGAACTGAATTGTTGGGCCACAACAATTTGGATTTTGTTAATTTATTATTCCATAAAGATATAGTCCATCATTTGCAATTTGTGCATTTTGTTCGTTTGAAGCAACAAAAGTGTTCAAAATCTAATGAAGGATACTGAACAACTAACCTGATGAAGTTTCAGCTCAGCTTCAGCTGATACATTCCGAGAAAAACAGCATTCTAGGATCTCAATTTCAAATCAAAAGTTGCTGAACCATGTTTTGAATTGGGCCTGAATTCGGCGTCCGAGACACGTTCTCACTGAGCCGATTGCAGCTATACGCGATGTCGCGCACTGATCCGACGAATTATAGCAACCGCGTGCGCGTGTGCGTCATGCCAATGCTTGCGCGCGCTTCGCCGAATAACAAAACGAACTACTAATTTAAATTTTCCTACGGTGCGTCTTAAGACGCACCGTTGGAAAGGCCTTCTTTCGTTGATTACTTCAAAATGACAGCTTGCCAGAAAGAATAATTTCACAGGGAGTTTAGTCCACTTACTATCTTTCAACCAAGTATGTTTTTCAACAATAATTACGTCAGTTACTTTTCGGATTGCTGCAAATGATGGACTATAGCTTTAACGTGAGCCATCTTCTTTCGCTCCATGTCCCAATAAAAAAAATCATACTTTTCATATTGCCAGAAAAAAGGTTTTACGAAAACTATTCACTTTTCAGGTTGAAACTTGAAAGTAGAAAGACAGTACCGGTACATCTTTTAATTGATTTTAATATTTTCCTTTTGTCACTTACAGTTATCAACCTGGACGTCCATTTTTGGTCTTCCGTCTTCGTCAGTCAGGTCAATGACGATGGACTTCTTCATGCTCTGCAACATATGCAAAGGGTACGTGGTCTGAAAAGAATGTTGTTTGCAACAAGAGAGAATGGGTGAATGGAAAAAGAGAACAGAATATATGAGCAGTGTGCAGTGCAGTGGAGGGTGAGTTGGTGGGTGCCAGTTAACTGAACTGCTGCCTATTAGCCTTGGTACAAGACTTGGATTTTGTATTCCTTTATTTTGCAGCCAGTCCCTTGACAAACGCGGTTAAGGTGCCGCCGCAGTGGAGGTCTCCATCAACAAGATGAATCAATCCAGTCTTGGCAATATTGGCAGCGCTACCCAGGAAATTCTGAGCATACCTCAAGCACATGCATTAGCTTGAGTACAGCATGCGTGAGGTGTGCTCGGAATTTCCTGGGTAGCGCTGCCAATATTGCCAAGACTTGGATTTTTATTCCTTTATTTTGCAGCCAGTCCCTTGACAAACGCGGTTAAGGTGCCGCGGCAGTGGAGGTCTCCATCAACAAGATGAATCAAATCCAGTCTTGGCAATATTGGCAGCGCTACCCAGGAAATTCTGAGCATACCTCAAGCGCATGCATTAACGTGAATACAGCGAGCATGAGGTGTGCTCGTAATTTTCCGGGTAGCGCTGCCAATATTGCCAAGATTGGATTTGATTCATCGTGTTGATAGCAACCTCGCTTGTCACGGATCGGCTGTAAAGGGAAACAAAATCCAAATCCATTCTTGGACCAAGACTGACTGCCCCACTGAACCCTAACTCCCTAAAGTAGCATTATGACTTGGATCCTTCCTGAATCCTCAAAATTTCTCAACTGCACAGGAACTCAATGGCACATTCTTTGTAAATCAAATAAGGTTTTGCCCTTCACCGACGATTAAACACTGCATACTCGGTGTGTTACCTCCCGAGTGAAAGTTGGCAAAAAATCACTCGGGTGGGACTCGAACCCACGACCTCCTGCTTTCTAGTGCAGATGTCTTACCACTTGACCACCGAGCTAACAGGATCGGTTGGCCGGTTCGAGTCTGATGTGCATAGCAGTGGGTACCGCATAAACTATTGTAGTTTACATTCTTTGTAGTTATAGACTTCCAAGCGGCATTTTAAAAAGCTTCATGCAAAGTAGAAGTGGCTGGCCTCCATCTTCCTTTGTCCAACAAAATCCTCCGAAACCTCCTGAACACTTTTCAACACTTTTCAACAATTGTCAAGGATCTGAGAGGGATGAATGATTTATGTTGGACATGGCCTTTTTAATGCCCAAAAGAAGCTTTGCACCAAATTGAAACTGCAAATGCCTTGCATCCTGGAGGGGGCAAGTAAATATCTCACATGTCACAGCGATCAAAATTGTTTTGTTAATGAATGAATGGTTCTCTTCATAACCATTCTCTTAGTTTGAGAACTTCTTCCCACATAGTGTTTCCGCAAACCTTTCATTCATTAGTATCTCCACCATGCAAAGCCTCAAACCTTACTTAATTGTTTTGTTATACTGCACAAACAAGAAAAACCAAGGAAGTTGGGACTCACTCTGCACGAAAGTAATTGAATCATTGCAGTGTCAAGTTTGATTATATTGTAAGTCTTTCTGCTGGTCTTTCAAATGTTGCAAGTTTTCAAGCCAACCCCAGCAAGCCAACCCCAGGCATGCAACTGGGAATTTAGAAAAAAAACGAGGAAATTCCAAACCACACAAGACTTTGTACAGTGTTTTTCAATTTGTAATGGCATTCATGAGAATTAAAAAAACAAGGAAATCAGCGGGTCCGAGGAAAGGTTTCATGCCTGCAACCCCTCTGCCACCCCACACACAAAAAATCTCAATGCTTTAAAAAGTAGGGCATCACATCCAATGTACACTTCACCAAAGTTGAAGACTAGTACATTTTCATAATTTGTCATTCAGTCTGCACCTTGAACAAACATTACTTCCACTCCACATTTCAGTGGTAGAAGCTAAATGGTCAAAAAGAAAAATAGGTTCTTGTGCCTAGTTCATATGTAATGTAAAACACATCAGACATAAACCTCAAAATTATTTCCCTTCCTAAGAAACTAAAGATGGGACAAAAAAGCGCAGTGGCCTTTTGGTGTCAAGGTCTCACTGAGTAAACAAAAATCCTGCAGTAATTGACAAAACAAGTTGTCTTGGTTGTAAGTACATCAAAGTATGCCGCTTCCAAAATTACCCTCAGAGTTTCCTCTGAAAGTAAACTAGAGACAAGAAAAAGCGCATTGCCCTTTCGGTGTATATTTTTTACCATAGTTACACAAACTCCATTTGATGGTCTTAAAAGAAAATAAAGAAATAACATTCAACGTCCCTATCAGTGCCACAGGCCCGTGGCCCATGCCGGGGGGACCCCTACCCGGGATATACCAATTGCGTCAAATTACCTTGCGTGCAAACCTCGCGGAAGAGAAGCAAGGGGAAGGAAGGTGGGAAATGCTCCTTTAATAAAGACCAGGGTTCAGTGTTCCCAGTTAACGCAGAGAACGGATGCGGCGTTTCCCCCCAAAGGACTTCAAACGTACTGGACCCGTCACTCTGCCTCTGTCACGTACTAATAACTTAACTACAACCAGTTTGCGAGTCATAGAACTTTTTTTCTTTCCCTAACTTTTTTTTGGATCGAGGGTTTTGCGAAGAAATAAAGAAGAAAAAAAAACCACGGTAGACAGACTCGTTCTGCAAAGTACACAAGGTGCTCTGGGGGTCAGGGAAACCCGGTGGGAATACCCGCGTCTCCCCGGCGCTGTATTTTTTTTCGGAGGAAACTTTGATGGAAACAGATCGATTGGATGTTTTAATTCCATGTCGTGGGGGCCCCCTTATATGGAGTGTGAAATGACGCGCTGGGGCTTTCATTTTACTTCACATGTGACAGGGAATCCCGACGGGAGAGGATAGAGTAAGGGGAAAAGAGAGGGTGAGTTTAAGTTGATTCTGATTCAAGGGGAGAAATGAGGTCAGTCACAGCAAAAGTCATTTATATGTTTACACAGCTAAAAAACTTAATGACCAAGTTTTCCTGCCAACCCCATTCATAAGTTTTCTCATGTTTACCCAATTTGTTTACAAGGTTTTTTTCCCTCCAATCATCGGCAAGGGTACTTGTCTCAGGAAGGGTTCTTGCACAAAATATGGAATGCGTATGTAATCAGGATTAAACTGATTAATACATTTTCATAGAAGTTCAGAAGGCTCCGGTTATCCTTCACTAGTTGAACCCTAACCCATCTCAATCCTCCAAAATCCTCCTGGCAGTTTTGGAGGATTTTGGAGGACTGAGGATGAATGGTGTTTGAGAAACAAGGATTTGGAGGGTTGAGGATGAGTGGTGCTGAAGCACATGTGGATTTTTGAGGCTTGTGGATGAACGGTGTTTGAAGAGGATGATGATTTTGGAGGAATGAGGATGAATGCATTTCGAGAGGCAGGAATGTCTGACGATTTTTGAGGGATTGAGACGCTTGGTATACAAATTTTATCATACCCGAGAACAAAATTTTGGAGGATTTTGGAGGATTGAGGATGGTTCCTAACACAAGGGCCTGGGGGTTAGGGTTAAAAGAGTTTAGAATTTTAAACAAAGCAATTAAAAATGTCAGATCACAGAAAAAGAAAAACACTAATTTTAACTTCTTTTCCTACTTTCTTTGATGGTCTTTGGCAGCCCGAAGCAAGCACTGGCAAATTTCACCGACAAAAAAAATAAATACTGGTTATGTACATACCGGTTCATCACCATTCTCGCTGGCACTCGCATTGGAGCTACTATCACCAGCATGGTCCCCATTATACATGACCATCGTTCTGGATGGAAGCTGATTGGTCAATGCTTCAAGAGCAATCTTCTCTTTGTCTGATGCCATCGGGAAGTCGCTGGCAGCTGCGAGTGCTGCTGCCTCTGTCAGCGCAACCGAAACTGCAGGTTAAAAGAGACCAAAGTAGGTACCGTAAACACTTAATATCTTACACTCTCTGGCCGACTCCCTCCAAAATGCTGCTTTACTGATTCCTTCAAATTGAACAAAATCTAACAAATTTCATACATTTTCCACGTTTCTCACATGAAGCCATTAACTCGGGGGATGGGTTTCGTATGTATACTTTCTCAAAAAAAAAAAAAAGGAGAAATGTTATATTTGCAAGTGAAGTTGATTTTAGGGGAGTCAGGTTTTTTTTAGGGGAGTCAGGTTGGCGTAGCAGTACTTTCCTCGCCTTCCACCGCTGTGACCCGGGTTCGAATCCCGCCTGGGCCAATATGTGGATTGGATTTTCAGTCCCTGCCTGATTCCGTGGGTCTTCCTCAGAATATTCTTCTGGGCTTTTCCTCCCACCTCTAAAACTGTAACTTCTTCTCACTGTCTTCTCTCCACAGGTTTCTTCAGGCTTGTGAGCTACAGTGCCTAGGGTGCTTTTGAGGAATCCTTGGTTTCATTACCAGAAATGTTTAATAATATTAATAATAATTTTACAATTTAATATAAAACTCCTTTAATGCCGAACACACAGATAAATGAAAGTAGCCCTGAAATATAGTCGTAAGGTTTACACACTTGTCACATCAACTTGAAATTAAATATACACTGTACAGTCTACTGTTCCTCTCCTACAGTAGGGAAATATACAACATGGAATAACTTTTGGATCCTTTAATAAACAGTTCCTTTATGACATCAAAAATGTTTATTTTTCTCGGAAACATTCAACCAACAAGCCACTGCCTTCCTTTCTCAACTTCCGAGCAGAGTCAAAACACTTGGAACTTTTGCCCCCTATCTCAAACAAAATTAGTTTCTGGAAACATTAAAACAGCACGTTGACGAGTTCCCTTCCGCAACAAACTTTTTTCATGACAAGTGCGGCTACCCAAAGGCCATACCATCCCGACAAACACGATCCTGCAAGTGCCTCATCGAGGTAGTAGATAGCGTACGCATGGACTGTAGTCTTTAAACGTCGGTGCTAACAAACAAAGAAAGACAAGCGAGTCCCATCAATCCCCAGAGTGGGCAAATTACCCAATTTCCTCTCCCTATTAGTTCCAAATTGACTCCTAACCTTTCCCAGTCACTGATAATCAGAAGGGAACAATACAGGCTAGACCGGCCCCCCTCATGTCAAAATATGGCAAGTAGCTAATTGGTACACAGAATGCTGGCACCTACCCGTTTCCTCCACAAAGCCCTGCACGCACGTGGACCCGATGCGTTATCGGAGAGGAAAAGACCGACTTCAGATGGCGCGCCAGGCCAGCCAATGAACTTTTTTCCCATTTTTTTTCTTTGGTGGCCAATAAATGTTCCCCCCTAAAATTTGATTGATCTGATCTTCTGGTCATAATTAGCCTCAGTGATCCTGGGGGATGTTCATGGAGTGACATTAACTCAGACAAGGTCAAGAAGACTGTGCGGGGAGGCAAGTTTCAGGGAAAGACCAACTTAGGGTATGCAATGTTGTCAATGTTTTTCCCCTTTTTTTAATGAATTCTGATCAAATGAAAGAAGCTACTCTGAATATAGTAGGCTGAGGTACAATGTAGGTTTCCCTACTCCAAAATGGACCGGCCCTTGTTCTGTCCCTTCCTGTAGATGAAAATACTTTGCTGATGAAATGGTATCATCCATCCAGAAAACTATCAGTAAAGACTGGGTATATATGTAAGATGTCTACAAACTTGGATACAAAAACATCCTGGGACATACCAAATCAGAACCTTGACCCAAACCTCCCCCGGAACTCCGTCAAAATCCATCCCCCATTTTGGTGGATTTTGGGGGAATTCGTCCTGCAGGCCTGGTTTGACGGAGTATGATGGACTTGGTCCTGGAGGCTTAAAGCAAAGCATGCATTGGAAGCAGTGTGATTGATGGATTTTAGCGGACTTGGTCCAGTACTTAGTACAAGACAGTAGGGAGTTAGGGTTTTAATCCAGAATTAAAGTGGTAGCCAACTTCTGAAAGTGGTCATGGACATGATTTTTCAAAGCTGTCACAATATATAAAATATGATGCCACAATAAATAGTTGACCACACTTGAAAGGTGCCAAAAATTGCAGATGTATCTTAGCAGACAGATGACAACAATGAAAAGGTGGCCACAATAGACACGTGGCCACAATAAACAGGTGGCCATAATAGAGAGGTTGCCAAATTGTGTAGGTGGCTGCAATGGACGGTTGCCAAAACCATAGTAGACAAGTAGATACATGTATGAAGCTGCCTCAGGCAGGATGCCAATAACAGGTGCATGGTCACAATAGACACATAGCCAATAGGATGCATTTCGCCGAAGCAAACAGAGGTCTCAGTTTGATGTGCCACTGGCATTCCTTCTCAAAGGTCTCACCGAGATTGTCAAAGTAACAGTATGCACTTTCAGAAACATTTGGTGTATTGGCTACAGCTGGGGAAAAACAAGACGTTTAACTTGTGATGAGGTCTGCTTCGCAGACTCAACCCAATGCAATTCATCCTACAACTGACGTTATCTATGTACCTAAAAATAAGCATATCTCTGAAACAGTCTGAACAAGCCTAATAAGATGCCCAGAGACCCAAGGCCATGACAAACACTCTCTGTAAAACTCATTCAATGATGCACCCAGATCGTTATAGATTATACTAATGAGTAACCCAACAGCTGTTTAATCTTGAGTCGGAAGCTTGGGGTCTGTCCCTTGTCTTTGACACATGAAAGTTGCATTGTCTCAACAACATCTTTGGAAAACTTATTAAGGTTCCTCCAAGATTATGTTTCACTAGCATGTCTATAATAATGTCTAAATGGACTCTAACTGAAAACTATTCTACTTGACAGACTGAAACAATCAAACCCAACCAAAATACATGCATCTTTGCAACTTGACATTTTTTTTTTTCTGGAGAAATTGCAGCCAATTGGTTAGTATGTACGTACATTTTTGTCCCTGAGCAAGGCTTTTTGCTAGAATTAGAGTATTTTACTACTAATGGCCGAACTGGTAGAAAACAGGTGTCAACATGCTTTCCATCACATTACAAAATGGGAGTGCCTTGACTAGAAGTAAAATACAGGAGAGTTTTTTATCTCTTTCATAAGAACTCTATTTAAAATGCCTTATAGATTTCACACTATCCAACAAAATTCCGAATATGAGTAAGATTACAAGTTAAAAACAGTACAAGATAGAAATCAAAACCTAGTGTTGAACTTTTTACAAATCAAAATAAAACAGTTAAAAAAACACCTAAATGTGGTTTTGTAGAAGAAAATAGTTTGCGGGAAATTGAAAGGGGATTGTTGAAAGCGATTTGGGGGAAACAATTGATGGAATAGTCCCACCACGCATGCCCCCCTGGGAAAGTTTGCTATAAATGTGCACATAATCCTGGCGCCAGTAAGAAGGATCACCCCCTAGTGCACCACCCCGCTCCAACGCTCCGCGAGTCTGGGCCTGCTGATTGGAGGCGGAAAAGTAGAATTTCTGCTGATTTCCCGTGCTAACCTGACATGCGTGGATTTCCATCACTTCCCCTCTCTAACCCCCCCCCCCCCCCCCCCCGCCTTCTCTCAAAAGCAGATCAAGTTGGTCTCCTGTCTCATGAATGGTGAGAGGCAAAATGTGGGAAGCCACAAGACAGACACGCTGGTGAAAAAGGGGGAGGTGGGTTGGATGGGAAGCTGGGCAAGCATTCAAGGCCGACTAATAGTACTTTGTCACATGTCAGCCAACTTTTTTACTTCCAAATTTAAAGTAAAAACCAAGCACTGAGGGATTATGGCAGACAGACAGACTAAAAGACAGAATTAAGAATCAAACACGTGGAAACGTGTATCTCTTTCAGAGGCAGGTGAGCTCAGTCATTCCATACTCATGCAATTGTGCCGTGACACCCCCCCCCCCCTCAAATTAGTCTTGAGGATCAGACATTCATGTGTGCAAAGCCACGGTATGAACGTCTGATATATTGTAGTATGCAAATTTTATGCGAACCTGTGCACCAGCCAATTGGAGTCTACTTTAGAAACTGTGACGTAGTTTCGATCAGAAATGTGGATTAAGCTCTCGATTGGTCAATTTGGAGGCCATGTTTTGTAATACAACAACGGGTTACGGAATCCTGATAGAAGGCGCCCGTTGAATGGTCAAAATCCGGATGTCAAGACACAGTCTTGTTTGCATAATTAATTGCCAAAACTGTGCGAATAGACATTTGCGTGCAAGCAGCTATTCCGTAGACTACTCAATTTGAGGGAAAAGCCAAGATGACAACTGGCAACGCAGGTTTGACAGAACACAGCAAGAGCTGAGAACAGGTGTGCCCCTTTAAGGCACCTAACACATGGAAACATGTGCCCTCCTAGAGGTAGAAGGGGAGAGCTCAGTCGTTACGCATTCATGCCACCGCGACTCCTCTCGCAATGAAGTAGAAGCCAGGATGGCGTCTGAGGATTTCTTTTCATTGGCTTCCGTTGGCCCCTCACGGTCAATTTGACGTCGACCTTCCCCGTGTCAAACTCACTCAGCCTGGCTGCTTGCGTGATGTGTGCCACCATCTTTTGAGGGGGAAGAAACACACTCCTTGGTTCTTAAGTCTGGCTAATGCACTTGAAATCATGTACTTGATTCAATCTGGAATAATGTTACGCAAACCTGACCCGAAAACCAAAACCGATATCGACATGAAACCAACTTTGGTTCGGATCGGGGTCGATTTTTACATCATTTCAGTTGGGTTTAGGTTCGGTTTCAGTTTTGCGTTTGCAATTCTCGGGTAGGGTTGGGTCGGTTATTAAAGGCATCTTGTGAAAAACCTGGAATTAACGGGAAAAATAAAACGAAAAAAATATTATTGCAGAGTCACTCAGAGCCTGGTACTACCAACGTCAACCCACCTCCCAATTGTGCAAGTGGTTTGCGGTTATCACCTACTGTCTATAATGTGTAGGCTCACAGGTAGGTCACGTTAGGAGTGTTTACCATACCTTACGATACGATTCTTTACTGAGAGACGACAATTTTCAAATAAAATTCACGCGACGCGCGTAAGTTCAGGCACAAAAAGAGGACATGTTCTTGAAATATGGGACGATTGGACCAAGCCAGATATTAGGGTTTTTACCGGGTCGATTCGGTTCGGGTTGGTTTTTCCGTGAATTTTTGTCGGGTTGGGTCAGATTTTGGGAAGTTCAGATTGATTTCCGTTTGGATTCGGTTTCTGTTTCGGGTCGGTTTGGTCTGGTCGATCCGACCCGATGCACAACATTAGTCTGGAATACCTACTTCTTTACCCTAACATAGCCTTGGAGCTCAAAAGAGAAGCGTGATGTTTCCAGAAAGAAGTATAAAATTGTCGACCAGGGGTAACAACATGAAATCTATTATAATACGTCTATTTATGTCAAATGTACTTCTTTTCTCTTGTTGATTAATTTGTTGTTTTGTTCTCATCCCAAAATGCTTTTTAACGAAATGATATTTGGCTTAGATGGCTGTACATATATAAATATCTCAACATGCAATGCTATCCAATGAAACAACCTCATTTCACTATGCTCTTGCAAAATTAGGCAAGTGGAGCCTAGATTACCCTAAAACCTGCCTTAAATATCAATTTTTCCTTCATAGCCTATTACCCGCCCAGCCCTTCAAATAACCTACTCACAACTTTGGCTCTCTAAACCTCACACAACCTTGCTGCCACACAGTTGGTGTTAACAGGAAGCTGTTTTTTATTTAGCCGTAGTTTTAGCAGTGGCTTAAAATCCTTACTTGGTAAGCCCCAAAATCCCTACTGTTTGGACAGGGTTTTCTGGCTTGGATCGGCCTACATGCCTTCCTGTGTAAAGTGCCTGCATTGAAGAGTTGTCGTTCTGTCACAAGTCAATCTCAGGTCAAATCACAAGTCAAATCATGAAGGACCCAAGTGAGAGAGGATGAACAATGACAAAGGAATGTCACAGTCTATTTGAATAGCTTGCCACTTCAGACTAGATGACTTATGATGGAGTCAGGATACTTGTGAGGACTTGAACAACTGCTCGACGGGAGACTTTTGAGACGTTGGTGGCAGCAAACACACCGGTCCTTTTTCCATTGTTGGCGTCATATTGAGCATGCGCACTTTAGCTTAAACATGACGTAAACAATGGGAGACTTTTGAGACGTTGGTGGCAGCAAACACAACGGTCCTTTTCAATTGTTTATGTCATGTTTAAGCTAAAGCGCGCATGCTCAATGTGACGCAAACAATGGAAAAGGACCGGTGTGTTTGCTGCCACCAACGTCTCAAAGTCTCCCATTGAAAAGGACCAGTGTTGCTGCCACCAACGTCTCAAAAATCTCCCATTGTCCCATTCACATGAACCATGCAAGATTTTGGCTCCAACGACCAAGCCCTCTAGTGGTAGCATTGTAAAGTGCATAAATCGTCATGTCATATATCTTGACTGTGCAAACACTTTTTGACTGATGCCGAGTTCTATGAAAAAGAAAATGCTGTAAAAAAAACTTGCTTTTGAGGCCTGAGGGTTAGTAGATTTTAAACTCCGGGCCTTGTAGAAACCAAATCAACATATTGAATGTAGATATTTTAGTTGATGGAGATGGTGAGTCAAAAAATAGGAAGTATGGGGGAGTTTGTAATCTTACTAGTATTTCCGAATGGCTGTGAGTGCTTAGGGATTTGGTGAAATGTAATATGATCCTGAAAAAGTCATTAAGAACTAACTTGGTATTTGCACAGGAGCCGAGAAAGCCCCATGGGTAAGGAACTAAAAGGTAGCGCGTCAACCAACTATGAATTGAGAGATGATGTTGCAGAGTGTGAACTTTGATGATTATTTAAAAGTAAACTTGGGGTGTTAAGTTTATTTTCAGTTTGTTTCATGACTACAAAGCATTAGCAGGCTTAAAAAATAATCTACAGAAGAAATTTTAAGAAGGTTGGTTGTAATAATAACCCTGGATTGGACATTTGGGAGACATCCCCATGGACTTGTGCACACAATTTTTAAAACTTAAATGTGCCCTAACCCAATATTCCCTTGTCCTTTATCCACAAATTTCGGTATGTTTACTGATTAGACCATGAGCAACAAATATAACCTAATTGCGACAATAAAATTGTGCCTCAAAAGGGGGGCTGTGACAGGTAAACATGAACATGTCTCTAATGACCGATGTATCCCATCGTGCGAAGAAATTACGATAACGTGTCTCCTTAGTGGTACCTTTACACTAATAAGTCTGAGGATAATTTTTTGTAACCTACATGTTTGCAGGTGTGCTAGGTATATGTACATGTATGTACTGACCTAAAGTTTGACTATACAGCTAAATTTATAAGTAATCTGTTTAAACTAGTACATGTATAATGTGAGTTGACCCAACTCATTGCAGCTCCTGGAAGCAAAGTTAGAAGTCAAAGTTAAGCCATGTGCTTCTCCTAACCTCACAGACAAGTTCAAATACCCTCCATTTATCCTGAGCTACATGCATGGTCTAAAATTTGGAGTTTCCATATTTAGTCAAGAAAATGACACACAGCATTACTGAATGAGTGCTCACTAAAGGGCCCTCCTTAGCATAAAATCTGGTTTGCATCCCTTTATATTCAAGTTGAAGAGTTGAAGAGTTAATACCTAGCCTGCACTTGTGGGACACTGAAATGTCAAGACTACCCTCCAGAATTACGAGTCATTGACTCAAGATTGTCTGCAATCTCACAAAGCAAACCACAAAACACACGTCCTTCATACAACATCAAAGAAGTAAAGAATACCCTGTGCACTTGCAAAGGGTCGTGCTTCCTCAGCAAACGCCTGAGACTTAAATTTTCGGGCCTTAGATGAAGCCCCCTCTCTCAACCAAGCCTAACCCACCTTGATACCCAAGCCCTAGATAGCTTCATTGGATAGAAACTAACAGAAGGCAGGAAGCTACCAGCCCACCATGGGAGGGGGGAGGGGGCAAACAAGAGGGGGAGAGAGAGTACGTCAACTACCCGGAAATTGAATGTTACCGCAGAGCTGACGTGCGAAGCAAGTGAGAGCTAGCTGTGGCCATTTCAAAGTTGGGGGGGGGGGGGAGCAGGAAATGGCTTGGAGGCCAAGGGGGGTAGAGATATCAGCATGTTGCAGTACCTGGGCTGTCAATGGTAGGGATCAGAGGAGCGTGTTGATGACAGGTTGTAGCTGCAAGCCATGCGGCACAGGCCCAGTGATGTAACGATCGGCGATCTGGTGTGTTATATCACAGTCAAGTCTAGACTGCCCCTTTGCACGGCAGGACTCCCAAAATTTGTCAGAGGAAAACCACAATAACGGGTTGAGCACGTACATGGTTGTGTACTGAAGGGCAGTAAATATCAAGGTTGAGCTCGAACTTAAAGGAGTGCATTTGGGCACCATAACAAAATGGTTTCAGGATCTTCATCAGACATGTGGTAATCGGAATTTGAAAATGTGTCTATAAAAAAATATGCTTATAAAAAAATGCCACCACCTGAATGCGACTGGAGTATATATTTTAGAATGGCAACAAAAAAAAAAAAAAACAAAAAAACCTTGGAAAGTGCTCTGGCTGCATGATATTGTGCATTCAACTCAAAATCATATTAGTTCTAAAGATGGTACCGGTAAAATTGAATCCAGTCAATGTGATGGATGTCCGAAGTGTCTTTGATAAACAAATTTCTTTGCTGATTGCAAAAGTTTTGTGATGAGAATGCTGTGCGAAATGGTGTCGAATGCACAACTGAAATCTAAACTTATCACATCCACATTTAACAACTTTGTTCTGTTTGTCATAATACATGCTTTGATTAACATCCAAAGCTTTCACGACTCATATTTAGCCAATAGCATATGACTTCCCAAGATGCCAAACAATTCCTGGACTCGACTTCCTGGACGAGTAAGAACTCCAGGTGGCAATTTGCACATCCTCTTAACACACTTGAAGACCAGCGAGGCCCAGAAAAACAATATTTGTTGTCAGGCCTTTTTCTTCTCAAGTGGTGCCAAAGTCTTAATAAGTTGGCTTTGGCGACGGAAACTGGAGGGGAAGTTTCTGAAACTCTCGTTCATCACCTGTCGACAGTGATTTAGACTTTTGTGGATGCGCAGACAGAGGGGCCTCGAAAAACAATTAAGACCATGCAGTTCCCAATACCGTGCATTACGCCGGAAAAGTGCTAATCGCTGACCCTCTTTTAGCAACTTATTAAACAACTTTTGCCTTTTTCCTGGAGTTGACGAGGTGAGGCAGGGTGTCAGTACAGTATTTTAGAATCACAGTTTTAAGAAAAAAAGATCCCACAGAATAGAATTGAAAAGTACAGCATGAAAAGTCCTCACTTAATTGACATGCTGGACTGCCTCAGTTTTGCTACAGGACTCTCTACAAACAAACCTGCTAAATCCTTGCTTCCTCCAACCGGGCTATTACACGTCCAGGCAGAATTTGTCATGCTGGTTATCCTATTTCCAAACTTCTTATTAAAACCAGACACCCTTAGGACAGTGTTGTTCCTTATTTCACAGATTTTTTTAATAGAAAGTCCCTACTTTTTTTAGGAACCTAATCAGACTTTAATTTATATTTGAAAAATTGCTGGCCAGAACTATGTGACTGTCTTTTGTTGACTGATATGACAAATTTTCTGAAGGAAAAAGAACATGTTGTATTAGCTACAAAACACTGTGAATCAAATCATTAGATGTACCTGCCCACGAACGTCTTTCCAAAACAACAGGTTTCTAAGCTGTTGGGGAAAAAAGAAAGCTAAATCAAAATACTTCCCTTTTTGCCATGCATACTAACCTCCTGGTCTAATTTCTGCTTTGTCGTGGAACAATCGGATCTGGGAGGATGATGCATGGTTGACTATTTCCGCTTCGTGGGCCGTGTATTTCTGGTAACTGGTCTTGGGCGACAGCGACTGACTCCGCTTGAGCGGTTCTGTAATCTTGACAGGCCGGGACGTGACAAATGTCTGAGATGGAGAAGTGGACCCTTTAGTGGAGGAGCTATCGGAAGCACCTCTGGAAGACCAGCTGGTGGACATGGATGATGAGGAAGAAGACGCGGAGGAAGTCGAACCCCTGGCAGAGAGATTAAGTGGTTCGGGGTTCGAATCCTGATTAAGGGAAGGTGCAACGGTGCTTGGACTGGTGCGAGTGGTGGGGAAGCCCGTTGGCGGGAACGAAGCATGAGGGATTGTCAGGAGACCTTTGGGGCTGACGGTGTGCATTGGGGGCTTGACGGGGACTGGGATCCCCGTAGTGAGTTGGGGTGATGGAAGCCCTGGGTGACCAGCTAAGAGGTGGGAGGTACTCAGTCCAGACTGAGTGGTCTTGGTCCCTGACTGGGTGCTTGTGGCCGTGCCGTCTGGCGCTATCAGAACTGGCGTGACCCCAGCAGGGTAATCCTGGGGGTAGATGGGAACCAGACGGATGAACTGCCCGCTCTGGTGCTGCATGGCTTGGGTCAGAATAGTGATCTTGTGCTGCTGTTCCAGGAGCTGCTGCTGTTGTCGCTGCAGCATGTCTTGTTGGAGTCGCTGCAGCTCCATCTGTCGCTGCTGGCGCTGGATCTGTGAGCGGTGCATGGCAGCTGCTTCTTGCTGTTGGGCTAGCAGCTGTTCCTTCAGGACGTTCAGCTGGGAGAGAAGTTGTTCTAACCTTGCTTCCTTCTCAGCCAGGCTCTTGGGTGTCGGTGCACCTGGCTCTGGTGCTTTCCTGAGCTCCATTTCTGCCACCTACAACAAATTTAAACACACGTGTACACAATTTAAGTTAAAACATCGCCAGGCATTTTTCTGTAAATATTTTTTTTTCAGCTTACTGCACGCATCATTCAATATTCACGCACCTGTTACGTAATTCATCTGAACAGCTTGCCCTCAGCACACATGCTGGTGTCGGTCGGACACAATGTTTGTACAACACACAAACTTATACCTGGTCACCACCATACAGGGCTATTCTCTTTTTCAACTGAGATGGTAACCAACAGAAATGTTGTGCATTGATGGCATCTGATTTAATATGATGATAATACCCCTGCATATTTTGCACATTATCAAATGGCTTCCCATAAATTGAACCAGGCCAATTATGGACTGCAAGACACAGACTGCAAACCATGTGTTGCAAGTTACATTCTTTACCTCTATACTTCTCTCCACCTCTGCTGCATCCTTAAGCAGTGTATTATTATTGTCTATGTGCAGGTCACTGTCGACTCCGTTTGTCAAAATCGGACTGTGGCCGTTGTCAGTTAGGCATTGTTCATCGCCGTTCAAGTCCCCATCCATGTTGACTGAGGGTGTGCGGCTGTCAGTCTCGCCGTTCATCTGAGCATGACCATTACTGAACTCGTCGCATTCCATCTGGACATCTGCCATGTCGTTCTCTGCGATGCCGTCACCGGTTCCACCACCACCACCACCACTGCTTCCACTGTCGCTTCGTTGGTCGCTATCGTCATCAAGAGGCTCTTGTTTTATCTGGATTCCATCAGTGCCCATGGCTGGGCTAGATTGGCGCACTGACATTGCAGTCGTTTCTCTGCGTGGAAAGAAAAAGGAAAAGGGACTTAGTATACCGGTAGGTGCCTCCCAATGGACCCCCTGGCTCCTAGTAATTTCCAGTTTCCATTACATTTACTGAGCCGCTGGGAACTTCTGGTACTTCTACCAGTTGAGGCGATGGGCATTGCGGTTTTCCTTCAAGAACCGCTAGAACCTGCATGATTTGCATGTGGCTTAAATTGAACACAGGTACATACACAGTGTTGCAATGTGCACTGGAAAGGGGTACCTAGATACAAGTTACTGAAACATCAGGTAATGGTTCTCGTTTTCATTCTCAGATTTCAGACCCGACCAGCTTCTTTCTCTGCATCTCCTGTGTGTAACCAGAAACCTGTCCAAGATGTTTGCCTGTATACCTGGTCCCCAACTACATGTACCTGTTGATGATGTACATGTAATGTAGCATCAAAAAGAGTAAGGGTTAGTAAAGCAATCTTCAACTGATTGGTTCCTCTATAAGTGCGCCAGCAAAGAGTTTGGCACCTTGCAAAGAGTTTGGCACCTTACAAAGGTTTTTATAGTTACACTGTTAAAAATGTACCGTGTAGATGGAGATTTGGTGTGCACTGGAGGCGGGGTGAAAATGGTGAGGGGGGGGGGGCATAAGTCAATACTTTGTATAAAAAGTCCCGGCTGATTCAAATGCACCTTCCACTTGTGTGTCACTTTTATTTCTATTTCTCCCTCTCTCTCTCACTCTCTCTCTCTTCTTTATCAGCCCGGATGCACAAAGTTTTGCGGAACTTATTCATAGGATATACATGTACCTGCAAAACAATGAGTCACAAACCTCACAGTGTTAGAGCTGATCTTGAACTAGTAGGACGCCGCAACCAGAACAAATTAGGGCACATGAGAGCTTGCACGCGACGGGACTCGCAGCGCCGGGCAAATTAAGACAAAGAGGAAGGTGTTGACATGTCAGCGGGAAGCACTTGCATCATTGTCTGCAAGGCTTGCGGACCGACGGCGCCGATTGTTCAGTCCGGGGAGGATAACGCTGGCGAAACAATCCACTTTGTCTTAATAGCTCCTTTCCCGTCCACCTGTGCGGCGATACGGCGATTTGTGGTGTTTAAGGGATTAAGTTGATGGGGGCAGGAAGTGTCCTACCACACAGAAGCTAGTTAACCACAAGCGACAACCCAAAGACTAACTGAGAAAATCTGGGATTTGGCATCAGAGAGATTAAAGCAAGGTTTAATTGGCATCAATGGATCCACACTTCCAGTTCTGTTAAAAGCAGAGACATGAACCTAAGACCCGTAGCTCGAAGTTCATGAGCTTTACCAATTTATTTCATCTCTCCCAACCATGCAGTTAAACAGTTTCTTAGGCTTTTTAGAGTAACTGCAATAGACAGGCTGACACTAGGCCTAGCTGACACGCTCCTTACAACTGACCAAAGCTACACTTGAACCAGGGACCTATAGAGTAAAGATCCAGTGCTCTACCGACGGAGTTAGTCAGTCTCATATTTTACAGATGAAAACCTTACAAATGTCAAATAAATCTTTCTTTATTTTGCAGAAATTTGAAGACCATGATTGCTTTGAAACTGATTTGGAACCAGTTTAAAGTAATATCATTACTTAAATACTTCATTCACTTGGTATTAAATTATGCGTTTTGAGTATGAACAAAATGTACACGTACTGCACAAATAACAATTGAGGGGACAGTTCCTTAGCATTGTTGATTGAGGTGATACTTTGACATTTTAGGTCCGTTATGCCCAGGACAAGGGTTGGGTTACCCAAGAACATGCTAACCCCTTCCTCCCTCCACCTCCCTCCACCTCCCATCCCCAACATCACAAAAAGAGCTAACAAGCATCATGCCAGAGAATGCCTGCGACAGTGGACGGATATGGGAGTAATTGCGTATTTTCATTTCGATTAGCTTATATCCTGCCAGGGGAGGCTGGCATTGCCGCAGGGCATTATGACGTCATCTTGAGGGCATTGTTAAGAGTCAAGGGCAGGAATTGGGGATTTCTGCAGCTGAAACAGGAGGGGGGGGGGAGGGGGAGGTTAGCATCAGTACGTGCTACCCTGATACAAAAAAAGTGGACAAGAATTAAGACATTCAGTATGTCACACTGAGGAAACTGTGTCTCAACGACTTATGATTCACTGGACCAAATGTAACATTTGAATTGCACTATTTCTAAAAACATCTGTAGACACACTCATCGTCGACTAAATAAAACCAGAAGAACTCTGGGAATAAACTCTTGTTCTTTTATCCCCACTCTCCAAGGATAATTCCTGAAAGCTTCCTGGATCTGTCCTAATCGAACTCTGAACTGTACAGTTCCTTCTTAACAAAATTGGGATATCATTTAAAAGCGCGTGTAAAGTGATGTTGGCTGGGCAGTGTAGATCCTTAACCCTTGCTCTACCTGATCCTCCAATTCACTTCAGTATTTGAAAACGTGACTCGCCCGTGTTTTTTTGCAAAACCTTCCAATATCTGCCATTGTGCTATGGGGTGAAACCATAACACACTGCAAGAACTGCCCCCCACGATTAAAGCATGTATCCACAAGCATTTCCTAAACATCTCGAAACCTCACCACCCACATTCCTTCTAAAATAACCAGTAGCCAGTTGCCATGGCAACAGCGTGACCCCATTTGACCCATCAACAACCAGACCCAGGTGGCCCAGCCCCACACCCAGTGGTACCTTTCTTGACACTGACAAACGAGGGCCTACCCTCTATATTTACTCAACAGTTCCGGGACGCTCCACGAAAAAATGTGACAAAGGATCGGAAGTTTACAGCCTGCCATCGTCACCGTTTTACTAGGAGACCTACATTTGCCACATGTTTCCTGCAGTGTTATAAACAAAAATGTACAAGTACAATGAATTTGTGCTTGTTTATTTTGAACTGTGCATAAACTACATGTACTGTTTCTAAAAAAAGGGCTAGATTTGTAGGTACAGTATTTGAAAATGAAAAGCCAAAGACCTTTCAGGGAGTCAGGTTGGCGAAGCGGTACTTTCCTTGCCTTCCACCACCGCGAACCAGGTTCGATTCCTCTGGCCAAAATAGGTGGATCATGTTTTCAGTCCCAACTTGATTCTGTGGGTTTCCCACAGCGTTTTCTGGGGTTTTCCTCCCAGCTCTAAAACTGAAATTTCTTTAGATTGTCTTCTCTTTATGGGGCCGCATCTGGGAGACCAGTAGATTCAACTGAATGGGCTTCCCAGCTAAAATAAGAAATAAATAAAATAGTGAGGAGGTGCTTAATTGCTAACACAAATATTGCTAAGCAACAATTGGCTGAGAAAACATCACCTTGACAACCAGCTGTTTGAAATTGGAGACTTCAGATGACCATGATATTGAAGATGGAGCAATACATTAAAAGGTAGTGTGTTTAATTCAGGGTGAATTCCTTGCTTTTAAAGGGGCCGTATCATAAGTCCGACGCCTCATAGGTCCAACGCCTCATAAGTCCGAAATTTCGGACTAATGAGGTGTCGGACTTATGAGGCATAACATTTATTTATTCCGCCTCATAGGTCCGACGCCTCATAAGTCCGACGCCTCATAAGTCCGACAACGGAAAAACGAGGCGTTTAATTTGTCGGACTTACGAGGCGTCGGAGCTATGAGGCGTCGGAGCTATGAGGCGTCGGACTTATGAGGCGTCGGACCTATGAGGCGTCGGACTTATGGGCCTTTATTTGGTTAGGGGATACGATTTTGTCGGACTTATGAGGCGTCGGACCTATGAGGTGTCGGACTTATGAGCGGACCCCCTTTTAAAACCTGTGATAAAGGACAGAATCAGACATGTACCGGTATACCTAAATGTTGATAAATTCACTGTTTCAGAAAAACAAATGGAAAACTGTCAACACCACCTCCCCGAAAAGAAATGTTCTACTCAGACTAGACACAAAGACCTCAATATGGTTAACAAGTCAATTTAGAAACGGAGTACATGTACATGTACCGGTACACCACACTCCCTCAAAAAGACTTACCAAAATGAAATTATTCATAAGATGGACTTAATGGAATCTACAGGGTTCAGGTAAATGATGAACTCTCATTTCACTTTAGGGGGGAGAAAATTAATAGGGGGAAAGGGGGTGCAGTGTTTATAGTAGTTTTCTACAGTTCTGTTCGAGATCTACACAGCTACTGCACAATGTTCCGGTATTGTACACAGTTTAACAGGATAAAGAGTCAAAATATCACTGTGCAAGAGGCTTTTATAGTTGAGAAATTTTCGATAACCACTTGGGGGAAAAAAATTGGGCCACAAATGGACTAGCTGACCTCTGTGGGTCCATACCATTTTTCTCCCCCCCCCCCCCACACACACAAACAGACTGTGATTGGTGCCTGAACAATGACAGAAGGTTCGGAACAAAGAAATCAGAAAACGACAAAGACCAAAACCCTAGGGTTTGGTATGTAGCACATGTTGCCTTAACAGCACCGGGACAAAGGCTATATAGCCAAAGAAGGACGAAATACATTTGTACAGTACCGGTAAACTGAGTTTCGTGAAGCCTGCTACCGCTACTAAGCACAGAAATTAGCAATGCACAAACCTGATTTCCTGAGGAAATTAACGATATGTTATACCGGGTCACCACTATATTGTTATTTCATTTTTTTTGTTACAAAAGCTAAAGGAAATATCGGGAACATTTCCAAATTTGCTCCATGGTCTCTGATTGTAACCACATTCACTCACTAGCGGTCTCTTTGGCTCATGCAGAGAGGTCCCAGCCATTTTTCACCAAATTACAACCTTGGAAAGTTGGAGTGTTTTGTAAAGGCCCACAAACTATAGGTTCCGTGCGAAAAACAAGAGAGGGCGCTTATTTAACACCTTCAAGAGCCATGGACGGGAGACTCTGCGCGCGTACTGGTTCCTGTGACTTTTTTGAATTCTGAATGTGCACAAGCGTCTTCACGTGAGCGTCATCGGCAATGCATTCG